GTTCTTCCAGGCGAGGAAGGGAGCCGTACTGTAGTGGCGGTTTCCTCGCTGGCTGGGGGACGCCTTGTGCGGCCACCTGGCACCTGTCCTTCTGGGTTTGCCTTTTATTCCCTTTCTTTCAGGACAAGGCACTGAACCCAGAAGCTTCACACGGAGCTACACTCTCAACAACAACCAAGGAAAGTCTTTTGGAGACGGGATCTCAAGTCACTAAACTGTTCAAGCATACTTGAACTTGAGGTCCGCCTGCTTCAGCTTTCCAAACTGCAGGGTGTACAAGCGGGTGCCCCTGAACCAGGCTACTTTCTCTTATAATCATGCCACGGGCCAGCATTTCAGCGTTAACACCCTGTACCGCCTCCTCTCTGCCCCACAGGCCAGGGCTTGGCATCCTGAAATCCAGGTGTGACAAGGACTCTGGGTGGGGACGGATGCAGGCCTGGCTCCTTCCTGGAGACTGAAGTCGCCTTCGCCTTCCTCTGGCTGGAGGGACATCGCCCACCTGGCTGGCTCTCGGGTCTGCTGTGCTGTGTGCCTACATGGCCGCTGGCCCAACACCTAGGATCCTAAACCTGCCTGCGGAGGGGATCCGGCCCTGGGGGTGGATGGAGCTGCAGCTCGGACCCTGCACCCTGAGAGGAGCTGGTCCATGGTCAGTGGGCGCAGAGGGGCAGGAGATGCGACACGGGGCAAAGCTGGGCCAGGGACGGGGAAGTGAGGGGGCGGCACCTGGCACCGGAGGGCCCGATCCTCCCCACCTTTCTGTGCCACAGTCATGAGACACGGCAGAGGTGTGGCCCCACGTGGGTGAGGTTGCTCCCTGTGCCCTGCCCGCTGCTGCCCACGCGGGATCCTCCACGATCCCGCCTGGCTCCTTCTCCAGAGCAGCGCTGGCCTGGCCGGGGGCTGATCACTGTGCCTCTTCCAGGAGAGGCGTGCGGCTGTCTTAATTACAGCTCCGTAATCTCTTTTTAATTACCAGGCTCCTCCGCCTCCCCTGGAGGAATGGGATGGCTGGGATCCTACTTAATGAGCTTAAGGACAAGATTCTCGCATCCCTCTTGTTACTTCTCTTCCTTTCCATCAAACACACCCTGGGATTAAACCTCAGACTCACGTTGCTCGGGCTGCGTTTCTCCCACAGCCTCCCCGCCGCTCCGGGCACCCCAACTCCAGAGCCGGTGTGGCGGAGGCGCCATGTGGCCCAGAGCAAGGCACCAGCTTCTCCACAGTGAAGCACGCAATGCCCTGGTCTCTGACTGTCGGATACACAGGACAAAGAGCCCCATTCACACTGCGACTGGCCTGACGAGGACAGCTGTGGTCACCCGTCTGTCCTTCAGCCCAGGAGTCCTACCCCCAACCTGTCCTCCTGATACATGCACACTCGGCGAGGGGTCCCCATCCTCCTGGGCCAGTTTGGGGTTGGAACCACTGAGTGCCTAGAACCCAGCTGGTGGCAGTGGACGTGCAGGTAGAGGCAGTGCCCGCGGCCACCTCGCTGCTTCCTCCGTGAGCTCACTGCACAGTCACGGCTCATCCCGAGCTGTGGGCAAAGTGCTCCCAAGGTGGAGGGCGACCCCTCGTGAAGGAGGGCGGGTGCGGTTTTGAGAGCTGAGGCCCAGTCCCTGGACCCTGGGCAGGCGTTTGGGTCAGCAGCACGGGCACCAGAACCATCTGCCTTCACCTGCTGCCGGCCACCTCCCCGCATGGTCCCCACGGCACACCACCCTGGCACGCCGGAGCCTGACACAGGACGTGGCCCATCACTGCTCCTTGTCTGTCTCCCAGAAGACCCAGCTGCATCTGCCTGCACCGCTAAACCCACCCCGGGCTGTGCAGACGGAGGAAGGACCTGAGGACACAACCACCAGCCAGCAAGTCGGGAGGCGGCCTGGGCCGGTCACGTCAGAAACAGAGGGCGAGGATGGGCCAGGAGGTGAAGAATCAGCAGGCCCATGGGTCAAAGGCTTCGGGGCACAGGATCGGGGTGGGGTGAGCAGGAACGTCAGATGATCTGTTTTGCAATTTTCCCCAACAATTCCATTTCATGTCACTATAGATGTCCACTACCATGATACAAATAAAAATTTCTTTTAACACACATACACAAATAAAAAGACTCACAGGACTGTGGAGAATCCCAGGAACAACAAACCCAGCCGGGGTGCTCCCCCGTGAGGTTTCACGTTTGGCTTCGAAATTACCAGCCTGTCTCAGAGTCTGGGGCACAAAGGACTTCCACAGATACCAGCTGAAGCCACACACAATCATCAATATCCAATCATTAATGAGTTTTAAAATGATGATTTTCTGCCGTTCAACCCAACAGAAAATCAATATTTAAAAATGTATAAGGGGCTGCTTTGGAGATCAATAAATAAAAAGCACTCCTGTCCTTTGGCCCTATTTATTTTATTTCTTTGGAAAGAATCCAAAATGTGAATATAGATTTACATATAAAGTGTTCACTTCGGAGTAAATTACAGTGGCAGATACCGGGGAAAAGCAATCTAAGTGTTTAAAAATACGGGAGTCGACAGAATACCGTGTAGGGAAAGCTTTGCAGACACTGTAACTGATGTTTGGAAAACCTTTAAGTGACAGGACGTAATATAACATTAAGTATAAAAAGATAAGAAACCCAATAATGTCACTCTGCAAAAATTGCAAAGTATTAAAAATAGAAAAGAAAAAGAAAAACACCAAGAGCCCAGATCCTCAAGGCCGTGCAGAATAAACACAAGCCCTGACTCGGGACCTGCCTGCCTCTCCTCGCTGGGCGCTGGGTGGCTGCGGGGCTTCTCGGAGCCTGCCTGTCCCGCTCCTTCCGGGGACAACAGGACAAGTCCCAGTGCTTACCAGTACCCCCCCGAGTCACACCACGCCTGTGGGGTCCAGAGGACTGCTTTGACATGTTTCCCTACATTTCCCAAACTTGCTGCAGAGGATATGCATTGCTTTTAAAATCACAGAACATAGAATTATTAAAACTACCGAGGCTCACCATAAACAAAGGGCTGAGACAAGGCACCGACCAGGCGGGGTCTGCAGTTCCCACCCCACCTGCAGAACGGGAAGCCTGGGGCCCACCATGTAAGCCTACCTGCCAGATCCCGCAGCCTGAGAGTCGGGGGCTGTGGCTTCGGGCGCTCCCCTGAACTGCAGTGGGGAGACTGCACTGGTGTGAATGGGCCAGCAAATGGGCTGGAGTGGCCACCTGTGCTCTGCGGGTGTCCCTTTGTGAGAGAGTGTTACGGTTGACACACTGTGTCACCTTGACAAGTTGAGAAGTTTAACTCAGAGACTCAGCAGGGAGCCGGGAGGCTCACTTTGTAAACATCCTCATCCCCTGCAGGAGGAGGGCACAGAGATTTTGTGAGTGCTGCACTGGCCCTGGAGAGCGGGTGGTGGCGGCCTGTATATAATATTAAGGAGGAAAAGAGGCTCGCTCTGCCCCCTTTTGCTCTGGCTGCCCCTGTGCCAGGCCGCTCTGCCTTGGAGCCAGCTGATCATGACTGAAACCTCCACAAACTGTGAGCTAAATAACCCTTTCCTTCCTTCATTTTGGGTGTCGGGTGTTTTATTCCAGCAACGAGAGAAAAGTAACAAGACAGAGGAGACCGAGCACAAGGAACACTTCCCACCTATCCGGCACTGAACGGCCGCTGCGCTTTCCCCCCAGTGGGCTCGCCCGAACAGGCTTCTTCCGTAGTGCATACATCCAAGTATGTCACACTAAGTAAGAAAAACCTAAGTGTGGCGAACATTCAACCTAACACCATTTATATAAAGTTTTATAACAGAACAATCCTATATACCCAGGAGTGGTCATCTGTATGGTAAAATGGGAAAAACCAAATCACAGAGGGTGACAGGCTGGCCGCCTGGAGGCAGGAGCCGACCTCCTGGGTTCACAGACAGGAGCTGGCCCTCGGGCTCTGGGTGACCCTGGGTTAGTTACCCTGTGTCTCTACCGCTCTCCGGATCCGGAACATGGGGATATTAACAGCTCGTGCCTCATAGCCCGAAGAACGAGATGCCCAGCAGCTGCCCTCAGAGGTGCCCCAGGTGCTGCTGTTGTTTTGATGAACCCCAGACCTTATGAAAGACCAAGCTGTCTGCCCTGGCAGCCTCGTTTCCGGGAATCCCTCCCGGATAGATGACCGAGCAAGCCCTCTGGCACCGAAGTGTTTATCATACCGTTATACACAAAAGCAGGTAACTGGAAATGACGGAGCCGGCCAGCCCGGGGAGAGGTGCCTAGATCCCTCCCTGCTGAGCCGGCTGCTGAGAGCGCTTGCAGCATCCGAGACTTTTCCACCTGCTTATTCTCCCTTCCCTTCCACAAATGCAGGGACAAAGGCACACGTGTCCCCAATCCCTCCACACAGCGTCCTGCCCAGGAGGGTGGCAGAAGGCCCGGGGTGGCTGGTTGCAGCTAGGCTGCCCTGCGCCTGGAGGTGTTGGTCCATCAGTGGGCAGAGATGAGCTGGCCTGCCCAGGAGCGATGCTGTACGCAGCCAGAGAGGACAAGTGGCACAAGGGTGGAGAGCCCGGCGGCCGGCCACCCCTCCCCCAAAAGCCCCCTGGCTCCCCTGGGCACCTCTCCTCTCACTGCCAGCCTCTGCCCACCCACTGCCTCCTGGCTGACCCCTCCTGGCCTTTGCCTTCCCTGGGGGCAGAGGTCACCGCTCTGCACGGGATCATCTTGTGGGTCCTAAGGGTCTTTGGAACACTAAGCTACCAGACGGAAGCAAGCTCCCAGTCCTCACCAGACTGAAATGAAATAAAATAAAATCCTTCAGTAATCTAGAGGATGCGCATTGACTTCCCAGTACTCTAGGCAGGATTCGTACTGTTTTTGTTTCCGATGAGCTAATTTACGTGAGGTGATTGCCAATTTATCTGATGTACTTTTAATCCGTTCCCCATTTGGCAAAAACTAATCTTAGCTTCTCCCTTCACACAGGGATGCGTGCGTGCCGCACACGCCTCACCTCCTCTAGGAAGCAGCCGAAGGTCTCGAGAAAATACTTCCAGTGAATGGAGGGCGTCAGGTGGATCCTGAGCTTCCGCAGGAACAAGTGGTACTGGCTGTCTGTTAGCTTGTGGCAGAAATCCTTAAGGACCTGTCCGAAATCTGTAGCCTTTACAAACCCTGTGTCCTCTTTGTCCAACGCAGAAAATGCCTAAAAAAGAAAATTAATTAAAGAAGAAGAAGATGGCAAATGCTACTCTCAGGTGATGATTTCAAAACTATTTTCTTCGAGGCACTATCACTTAGGCAGAATGCAAATGAAATCTAGCGTATATGGTCCTGTGTAGCAAGCTCTAAATTACTAAGTAAGTAAGTGAATTGCTAAGTAAGACAGCGGGCACATGCGCCGGGGACTACCATATCCCAGGCTGGCAGGCCAGGAGGAAGAGGGTGAAGGGGAGCCGGGCCCGGCACCCCCTCCTGGCTCCCAGGACCCTGTTCAGGCTCGGGGTCTCCCAGCCTTCTGCACAGAGCCTTAGCGGGAGACTCAGAAGGAGCCAGGCTGCGGGGCAGGTGGCTGACTCTGCAGTGCCCAGATGGAGCGCCACCCCGCCTCCAGGTGAGGTCTTTCCACTGAGGCCGTGCGAGCCCTGCTTGCTGTGGCCGCAGCCGCGCGAGCAGACTCCGCCGCCGATGCCGGGCCTGGGTGGGAGGGCGGCCGCCCTGTGTCCCAGCCTCGGAGCAGGCAAACTGAGAAAGTGCGAGAATGTGCTATAAAAAGAGCGCACTTTTTTTCCATCTGTCGGAATGAAATCATTCATCTTTACTGCACTGGGAAGGCTGTGTGAAGTAGTAGATGAAGATCTTTTTTTTTTAAGGAGGAATTTAATGTGTGTGCAAACCCTGAACCACATTCCCTCGTGGTTGCGGTTAATTCTCACTCTGGGCTAACGAGCCACACGCCAGGGCTCGGTTTACGGACGTCCACATTAACCTCACCATGCTGTGCGGCGGTGCCCCAGTTCAAACGGAATCGTGGAACGAATTAAGTTTGAGAACCAGGGTGCCGCTGTGCGGCTCCGGGACTTTAATTGACCGGCAGTGACAGGACACAGCGCTGCATAGCAGGGGGGCCCCCAGGCGCTGGGGCAGGAGCTGACCTCTGAACCGGGCTCTGCGGCTCACCCTCAACCCTGGACCTCTTTGGACCTCAGCTCCTTTGCTATAAAAGCAGGCGAGCTCAGAGAGTTTACCGGAAAACACACGTATGCGGGACCTGGCCCACACGAGAGTCTCAACGCGGGCTTAGAATCATCATTAAAAATGAATGTGGCCGGCCAGCTGGTGGGGCCGGCACATACCTGTCACCCCCGGGCGGCTTAGCCACTTGGTGAGACTGTGTCAGAATTTCTAAAAACTGTAAACGCTGTACAGGGCGGGGGATAGGGTTAGGGTGGAGACCCTGGGTTCACTGCCCAGTACACCCCACCCCCAGATACGGTAAACCAAGGACATCCGACATTCCACGGGAGCAGCACCCACGACATCCAGCAGAGGCCACCATGTCCTGGGCCTGTCTGTGCTGGACCCCTGTATAAATCTAGGCAGCTAACATTTACCTGTGAAAATGCCTGGAATTCATAAAACACTCCCCAACAAAGAGGTACCGATCTGTCACAAAGCACGCAGGTCTCATGTCCTCTCTGAGGGCCATGCTGGTCTCGCCCTCCCCTCCCCCAGCCGGTGCCCCCTTCCCAGTGCCCATCTCCCCCACCCGCTTCTCACAGCACCGCCCTGACCCACTGGGACCCTCGTCGCTCCACAGAGAGACCACCGCCCCTCCCCGTGATGTCACCCGGGGCCACTTCAGCAGCTCCTCCTGAAAGTGATGAGATCTGGCAACGGCCAGTGCTTCAGCTGGGCCGGGGAGGAACTCCTGCCTTGGCGGCCACTATCCAGCCACTTCCGGCCCCTGGGGTCTGCGGGGCTTGCGAGGGGACTGTCAGCTGGGCATCCTGAGACACGGAAGGTCCGGGGGCCTTTGTCTTCACGTGGTTTTCCAGAGGCCCTCGCACACTTTTTAGATGAGCAGTGAGGGGGCAGAGATGAGAAACCCTGCAGAGGACACCTGGCTGCTCCCGATGTCCGCCACCTGGGACACAGCCAAGTTTGCTGGCATCGCAGGCTGGAGGGTCCCCCCGCCTCTGCTTCCTCCTCACCCACCCCTCGCACCCCACCTTCCTACACTGAAGAAGCAAGCTCACACCTCAGAGTGGAGATGCCCACCCTGGGGCCTTGCACTGTCCTGGCCACCTCAGAGGGTCTCGAGAAGGCCTCTGGCCTTGGGGGTCTCAGAAATGCAAGGAACTAACGTCCATCCTCTTAGTGCATCATGAGATCCTGGTGCGGTGGCGCACGCCTGTCACCCCAGCTCTTGGGAGGCTGAGGCAGGAGCATCACCATGATTTCAAGGCCAGCCTGGGCTACACAAGTGAGCTCAAGCCCAGCCTGCACTACAGAGTGAGGCCCTGCCTCGAGAAAGGACAAAAGGTTAAACCAAACTCAGGAGAGTAAAAGCACGCTTCAGTTAAAGACCGTTTGGGCGTCCACTCTGGGGGCCTCCTAGATCTGGAAAAGGCTCGGGACATGCCTTTCCCTTCCAGCCTGCGCTCCAGCTCTGCCACGTGAGAATCATCTGACCGTGGCCAGGCTTTTCCGCCCTGAGCTCAGTGTCCCCTGGAGAACGAATCAACCGTCCTACCTCGTGGGGCTACGGTCAAAGAGGAAAGAGGCTCCCCAGGGTTGGTGGCCCTCACGGTCCCCAGGGAAGGAGCGTGGCTGCTGGAGAAACTCTGGAAGCCCTCTCTGCAGTGCCGTGTGGGACCCGGGGGGGTGTCCACGTTCCTGAAGCTCTGGGGGAGCCTTCCTTCTGCCTGACAGTGGCTGCTGGGCTGTGTGCACCCTGGGTCCTGCAGGAGGCCCTAACACACCATGCTGCTGCCAGGGAAGGAAATCCACGTGGGGCCCAGCCTGGGGGACAGGAGCCAGGGCGTGGTCCCAAAGCCCCGTCTCCAAGGAGGTGGGCCCCGTCCGTCCTCAGTGTCATTCCACGAGCACCAGGGCTTGGTGCCCTCCTGAGCACCACACAAACATAAGCTGCAAAATGACAACTTCCACGGTGACCCTGGCCTCCTGGTCACCTTCACAACGAGGTCAGCGCTCGGCACAGCCCACTGGCCCACCCCGTTCACGGCCACCTCCTGCCTCTCACCCCCTGCCCAGTGCTTGGCCATGCTGAAAGCTCAAGGACGGGTGAGCTCCTGTTGCCCAAGGGCCTCTGTCCTCTTTTCCCAGACGACCTGGGTTTCACCCGCCTGAAGCACCTGAAGCACCTCCGCCCCTACGAATGCGTGCCAGGCAGAATAGGGGCGCTTTACAGAGCAGGCACATCTGTGGTCAGCCAGGCACGGAGGAAGGGCCCGGTGGAGGGCGGGCTGAGGTGCCCTGATGGGCTGAGCGGGGTCGCACAGTGAGCCTCTCCCTGTCCGTACCTGCGACAAAGCCTGCTGGGAGGTGCTGACTACTTCCTGGACGCTCTTCACCACCTCCTCCGGGTTCAGCGTGGAGAAGTTGATTGGCACAGCGTCTTCCTTCTCCTCCCGCTGAGGTCGAGCTGCCTTGCTGCTCTCCAGTGCTCTCAGGAAGTCAAGGTAGTTGATGGTATTATCATGGCAGATGATTCCCAAGCTTGGTGCCCCCAAAAAAGAAAAGGATATGTTAACTGAAAAAAAAAATCTTTCGGTTATTCATTCACCAAACCATTGCTGAGCACAAGGCAACATGGGGAAAGTGGACGGTTTTGTGACCTGGTTCCCCGCCCTCTGTCATCAGACAGGCATACAAAGCTGCCAGAGACCGGAACAGGCGAGGGCCATGAGAGCAGAGGGGGCCATGCCCCAGGAGGCCTCCATTAAAGACCTGTCCTCAGCGCCCAGCAGGGCCCACAGCCCGGGAGCAGGAACAGTGGGGAAGCGGGCAGACAGGGGGCTTCTGGCAGGGGCGTGATGCTTGCAGAGCTGTCCCTTGGGGCGGGCTCACCGCTAACAGAGGCATCAGAGATGGCCTAGAAGTGACACTGTCGGGTGGCGGAGAGTAAGGGACCTGGACAGGAGCTCCTGCAACCATCAGGGCCTTAACTGAGGCACAGAGGAACCAGGAAGAAGGAGACCGCTTGGGACAGTGCAGAGGACAGGAGGGATCCCCCAAAAATGGAAATTAAATTCCTTATCAAGAATGGTGGGGAGAAATGGTGGGAGGAAGCTGCCAGGCTCACAGCTCTCCAACGATATCTGTGTAGGACTTGTGAGGCTTAGTATTTTCTCTAAAAGCCCGTCTGAGTGCCCACCACCCCCAGCAGGGCATCCATGTAGACATGGACACTCCCCCACGCCGACCCAGAAGAGGTGGCCTGTCCACCCTGGGGGGAGACTGGGGGTGAAATCCCCCGAGAATCCACAGCATATTTATTAATAAAGATGTAAAGACGCAGCCTCGAGCTGCCATGCATCCCAAGTTCGCATTTCCATAACTGGACTCCTGGGCCGTTTTCGGGGCTCAAGCACAGAGATGCTCCTTTGCCCGGATGGGACGCGAAGGTCAGAATGGGACTGTGTGGGGCGTCATCAGATGGAGCGAAGGGGTCCAGTGACTCAGATCTGCTTTGACTCGGGAACTAAGGGCCGAACATTTGTATCCCACAGCTGTGGAGCCCTGGGGCTCAGCCCTGTGATGGCTCATGGGGGGACCCGAGGAAGAGGACAGTCAGCACTTCATCAGCGCGGTACTAACGCAGAGCAAGGAGACCCAGTGTATACGCTAACCTCCCCGTATGGCTTAGAAAAGTCTGTTTGGATCTGGAAAAGAATAATCTCCACATAATCACTGATAGCCGGGATGCCTATCGTTAAGAGGTGTTTGAGAAGAAACACGGATCCGTGGCAGTCCTTATTAAGGTTTCAGGTGTAAAAAGAAAAACTTGGTTACCCTCACTGAAAGGCAGATTACAGAGATGCTCCAGAAACACCTGTTTAATTAAAATATCAGGAAAAAACAGAAAGGAAGAGAAGAAGCATTTGAAGTCATCTTGACTGACTTTAAAAACAAAAAGACGAAAACCTTGCCAGCAGAGAAAGATGCGGATGACCTTGGACTTCTCACCAGAAATCCTGAGAAGGAAGCCTGGACACAAAAGTCAAAAATATATCAACCGAGAGTCCCACGTTGGGTGAGACTGGTCCGCAGCGGGGAACTGAGGACTAAGGACCTGGGTTTCTGGGGGTCATTTTCTTCTGCTCCTGCACAGACAGGAAGTCCCAGAAAGCTCCCAGGCAGCCGCTGGCAGCAGCAGACCAGAATCCTCTCAGCCACAAGCCTAAATGGTCCCCAGGAAGGGAACCTCACATCAACAACAAATTCAAGATAACTATACGCCAAACACCGTGTGGCGTGCTCTTATACTATAAATCTTTATTAATCTCCAGTTCAGCTTTGTGCTGCAGCACTATTCTCTGCTGAATCTGATGACAGAAGAGCTGGCACTGGGCTCCACCCGGAAAGTGACACCCAGGTCACTCTGCACTACAGACCAGGGCCCAAAAGTCCTCCCCATCTGTGTGGAACTCCGAATCTGCTCGCTGAGGGCCCTTCTCTTCATGCAAGCATATTTTTGAGGAAAGACTCTACTGAGAAAGATTGCTTTAAAAGTGACCGTGAAGAGGGATTCTGAAAGATTTTGATGTCTGTTCTTAATATCAGAGAAACGAGATGGCACATTCATGAAATAAGAACAGGATGCTGGAGACGAGGAGCATTTGGAGAACGGGAGCGAGCGTCAGATGACAGAAGGGGAGATCAGAAACAAAACTGCAAAAAAGGCGGGGAGCCGACACGGGAGGGAAGGCCGAGAGTGGGATGAAAAGAGAGAAGACGGAAGTAGGGGAGAAGCGTTCACCCCACTGACACAGAGACGTCCAGCTGGCTCACTGACCAGCAGTAACGGGAGCTTCCCTGAGAACAGCGGAGAGGAAATCACTCGTGAAGTAAGTCAAGACAACTTCTGGGAGCTGCAGCGTGTGAGAAGATGAAGCTGGAGGGTTAGAGGAAGTGTGGGAACACCCCGGACAGAGACGCACACTGCACACCGGGGGAGCTGGAGTCTGAATGAGACACTAAATGACCAGAAGGCGCTGGGGATGCGGCTCAGCGGCACGGCATCTGCCTGGCAAGTGCAAGGTCCTAAGCCCGATCCTGGTACCAATAAACAAGCAGAAAAAAGCAGCTTATCCTGAGGGCGGTGCTACGGAGAAAGACGGGTCAGCTGGCTGCGATGGCCTGCACACGGGTCATTCACTCTGACCTATCAGGAAACACCGCACACTTGTCCAATCGCTTTCTTGTTGCTTTGGGCTGACTCAAGCCCCTGGGACGCAGCCCAGCCCAAAGGAAGATGGGGCGATCTTTGCAGTGCTCCCGAAAAATGCACCTGGCCCCGCCCGAAACAAGAACAGAAACCAAACCCCAGAGACCTGTTCAGCAGGGCAGCCAGCTCCTCCTCCTGCAGGGGACAGCCGCACTCCTGCAGCACCTGCTGCATCTTGTGGAGGGACACAGAGCCCAGCTGGCATTTGTCCAGCGTGCTGAGCGCTTTGCCGATGTCTTGGACGTGGTCCACCAGCAGATTCCTGAAAGAGAACACGTTTCAGCCGCGCCTCGGACCAGCGTGAAGGCCTGCTCGCTCCCCTGGGGTGACTCTGCGAGGTATGCAGCAGGCTTCGGGGGCATTTAAGGGAAAAGGTATCTCGGGAAAAAATGCCAGGTCCGGGCCACCATCCTGTTATTCTCATCAGAGAAATTGCAGACTTTTTTTTTTTTTACTGGATTTGGGACTTCGAATAGAATCAAGGACTTCAAAATACAGGGATCTGACTCTGCTTTGTTTTGTCACATTTGGTTTTATTCTCTTCCAAAAAAAAAAAGTAATAAGAACTGTGGGAGTAATAAAACCCAAAATGTGTAATTGTTATTGTAAAAAAGAGAGAAAAAGAAAGTGCTCTAAAGATATAACTGCAAGTATGCTTAGGTGTGTAAGACAGATGACCATATTACTAAGATTTTGTTGGATCATTGAACACAACTGTTTGCAGTCTCATTGTATGAATGTCCACTTTGTATGCTTTAATTCTGTAACTTGAATGACTATTCTAGGATGACAATACGTAATCTATTAACTAGTGATTTCTTACTGTTTATTTTTTTTGAAATTCTGTATTACTTGTACCCTTTTACTGTTTTGTTTTGTTTTTCTTTCTTTAAATAAAAAAATACAGGGAGGTCACAGATGTATGGAGACTCTCGCTCTCCATAAACGCTTGCTGAGTGCCTATCACATGTCGCCTGCTGCTCCAGGGACATGGAGGACACACACAGGTGTCCCCAGGAGACTTCACCTCCCACTGAGCCCAGGCAGAAGACACAGCGCATGCAGGCTAGGAGAGTGGGTGAGAACAGTCAGGGGACAGGGACTGCCGAGGCGGCAGGGGACTGCTGTCCTCAGCAAGGGGTCAGGTAGGCCTCCTGCGGGGTGACCCCAGGTCCCAGCGCAGGAGGCAGAGTCCTCTCTGGGTTCCCGTGAGCATCGGGGCAGGAGTGTCCAGGGACGCATCATGTTTTGGTCAAGCGCCTGCTGTTAAACACGGCCAACATCTGTGAGCATCCACTGGGACAGCGAGAGCTGAACTGTCCCCTTGAGCATGATCCCACAGTGACCTACTCAGCAACCCCACAGGGGCACATGGAGCCGTGCACGATACCGGAAAGGGCAGCTGAGGACAAGACGGGGCCTTCCGTGGTGGTGAGAGGGACGAGTTCCGCGCAGGGCCCAGCTCCAGGCCTATTCCAGGCAGGGTCCATTTCCCCAGGTCTCTCCGATTCAGTTTTTCCGCATAGGGACCTTCCTCCTGGACTTCGCCGACATTACTGTGGGTGGACTAGAGAAGTGTGGATGTCCGTGAGGGTGAGCAGCTTTGCCCTTGACCGTGGTGGGAGGGGCCCAAGTTCTCCGCCTTTCTGAGAAGCTCCTTCCAACAACTTCAGGCGGCGCCTGCCAGATGGCCTCGGAGGCCAGGAGGCTCCCGATGTTCCTCCAGGACAAGAACATGTGGTCGATTCTGAACCGTGTGTCCCTGGTGGAAACTCTGTCACTTCTGGTAGGTTCTTGGGGGAGAAGACAGTCCCTTGACCGCACCCAAACAGTCTGCAGAAATGGGACATTCAGAAGCCCGGGAAGGTGAAGTAGAGAATCTTGAGTGTGGATGGTGACATCTACAGTGAGGACCCCTGACAAGGCCCAGTGTTCCCCGCTGGCCTGTGATTTGGAGCACACTCCTGCGATGTGGGAGCACTTAACACCACCGAGCCATGTCAGGCACAGCACCAGTGATTCGGGTCCCCAGCCAGGCTGAACCCTGCCCCCCCCCATTACAAAACCACAGCTCGACCTCAGAGCCATCTGTCCCTCTGAATCCCTCCGAGTGAAAGCCAATGAGAGGAAAAAACTCAACACGTTTTTGGAGATATATATATACTTAGCAAATGGAGGCATTCAGCATTTCTGGACCAGCTCGGAGGCAGTAATGATTCCCTTTCAGAGCAAGTATGTGCACAGAGTACATGAGAGCCGGAGCTCAGACAGCAGCAGGCTGCTGCCGGCCCGCATGGGGAGCAGGGCTGTGCCGGCCCGGTCCTGCCTGGCTCCTCAGGGAGCCTGCGGAGGCTCCCCAGCCCCGCGGGCTGCCGCCTCCCAGCCCGCAGGGCCTTCTTCACCCTGAAAATGTATTTGCAGGGCCCTGCAAATGGAATCAATTCCCTTGGATTCAAAGGCAGGTATGAGGAGGGACCTCACACTCTTGTGCACTGAAGGCCTTTTTCCGTTTTTCTTTTCCTGCCCTTGCTTCCTGCCACACCAAGGGAAAAAACCCAACAGGAAGGACCAGCCAGTTTGGAGACTCGCTCCAATGTGACCTGCCCCACTGCTGCTGTTCCAGTCTGGACGTCCCCCCTAAGCCTCATGCAGTCCTGGGGCAGGCTTCCAGAGTTTGTGAATGACCATGATCCAAAGTGGGGATTACGGGTGTGAGTGCTGCACCCACATGGGTGTGGCTTATACACAACGTACGGGACAGAAAGAGTTTTCTCTCCGGGCTCCTCCCGCTTTGCCCTTGTTTTGTGCCTCCATCAACTGTCACCCTCTGCCATGTACCACTCTGCCTTGGAGCCAGCTGATTATGGATTGAAACGTCCACAAACTGTGAGCTAAATAAACCTTTCCTTCCTTAAAAGAGAGAGACACAGTTATGAAGCTGGGTCCCTGTGACTCGGTGGGACCATCCACTACTGGTCTCATCTGAGTCTCAAAGAGAGGAGGAGATGGACAAGATCACAGACATGGGGTCTTAGGCTCATCTGAAAGTTCCGTGACCAGGACACTGCCAAGTCCGGGCAGTGGGGGGCAAAGCTACTTCACGAGTTTTGGAGCCCAGGACTCCTGAGACCCCACAAGCTGGCCATGCATCTGACATGGTCTTCGAGATAGCAGGGTGGTGGCAGGGAGAGTTGGGGAGCTGGGTCCTTGGGCTTGAGAAGGGTCGTCACATGTTGAGTGGTCTCCGCTGAGCTCCTTGCACCAGTGAGAACAGGCACAGCTTCATTTCTCAGCAGAAGCCAGGACTCGAGTGGGTAACGAGGCCACCCTGGCTGGCGAAGATAAATGACACTGTCCTGTTGGTTTTGTGACAGATTCGACTTACACCAATACTGCATGTATTTTACATTCAGTTTCACAGACTCCGGTCTCTGCTCAGTAACTGAGACGTGATCCAGGGCGCAGTCTAGCTGCCCCTCCCTTCATCTGACTTCCTTATGAGGTTACAGTCCTGTATCCTTGGCCGGTTTGGGGGGTTCTTCAGCAGGGACTCATCCATTTGTTCATTTGGGCGGGGACAGAGAACTGAGTCCTGCCATGTGAGGGGACAGACAGGGGCAGGGGCAGGGGCAGGTAAGCACAAGGGGCGTGTACGGCAGAGCCACACCTGAGGAGAGGGACGGGCAGCCACGGGGCTGGGACTGGGGACGTATCAGGGAAAATCATCCAGGGACTCTCATATCATGCACAGTACAGTATTTTCCTGAGTATAAATGTTAAAAACATGATACAGGAAGCTGGTCTTAAGTTTCGTAGATAACGGAGTACAATCCACCATCCAACGCAATGTACGGCTTTGGCAGGCAGCTTCTGGTCCCTGCAGGCGTGCACCCGCCAGACGCCGGACACCATAGCAGTCGTGGCTATGCACTGCATGGCTGGCCAGCCCATTACCTCGGACCCTCTGCGTGCTCTCTCACAGTAATTCCAATAGATGTGACACTGTCACACTATCTTTCGGGTCATGTGTCACTAGACCAGTGCACTGAATGGGGATTGAAAGGGATTTCTTTTGTTGTTATTAAGGCTGCACTATAAGTCCTCCCTTGCATCTGCCAAGCTCTTCTGAGTTGGTTCACTGGGAGGGAGCCCTCCATGTAGAAGTGGGGACTTAAAGGGTATCTGTCCATCCATCCATCCATCCATCCACCCACCCATCCACCAATCTATCCATCCAGCCACCCACCCACCCATCCACCCAGCCACCTACTCATCCATCCATGGATACCCATGCATCCATCCAGCCACCCATGGGACCAGAGATAGTACAGGACCCCAGGAGTAGTTTTCAAAGGCAAAATCTGAAAGATGTGAGACTGGGTGTGGGTAAGGTGGGCCGGGTGTATAGCTTTGGACTCCTGACAGCACTCTGGCTTACAGATTTCTAGAACCTGCAGCAGTGAGGGAGCAGAATGATCGCCCTGTAACTTCACCGGCACACACCGGGTGGGACCATCGTGCAGCAGTGCTGCTGCTGGGGTGAACAGAGGGCAGAGCGCCTGGACTCCCAAGCCCACCTGGCAGGCTTGGCCCTCTCTGTGCTCTGCTGCAGCTCCTGGATCTCCTCTTGCACCTGCTGGGGCTTGGTGAAGTGGCCCAGGAAGTTGAAGTAGTCTTCTGCATAGGGCCGGTGGACTGTTGGCGAGTAGTTAATACCCAGTTTCTGTAAAAACTCCTGGTAAGTAATGTACCCTCTTCCCTCGGTGTCATAGCTGAAACAAAAACAGAAACAGAAACAAAGCCGTCGTCAGTAGCCGTGAAGGTGTGCGGGTGCTTGGGACCCGCACCACATCTGCACGGTCTGCGAGGAGCCTGCGGGCACACTCAGAAAGGCAGAGTTCCAGGCCCGGCCCCAGACCCACCCTGAATCTGCAGCCAGCAGGTTCCCCGGTGGCCGGCAGGCACCAGGTCTGGAATGCACTGCTCTGAATCGCAGAGGCCTCTCCTTGTGTAGGACTCTCCATGGGAGGATGCAGCCAGGGCCAAGCACTTGCCCTGCTGCTGGGAACACAGCTGCGACCACAGAAAGTCAAACCAAGCCTTCTGCACGTTCACCAGTTTTTATTTTGTGCCGAGCACCGACTTGCAGAAGGAGCTATGCTAACATTTAGGAGAAACTCCTTTAAAAAAAAAAAAAGCGTATTCCATCTGAAGATGCCAAGAAACGCAGCCCACTTGATTCAAGGGTGGCAGGGCCCCCGTTTTCTCCCCGAAGCGATGACAATTACACACCCAACAAGAGCGCTGGAAGGAAAACAAGATAAGAAGGGTGCTCGGTGCTTTTATGTCATTTTCCATTATCAAGATTTTTCTGAATTATAATTCATTAAAAAAAAGACATAATGGAGGGTTTTTATCTCCCAACGTTATTCAAATAGAATAGAATTACTTCAATAAAAATGGTTAGGCAAATTGCCAATTTTCTTTAAAGGAAAATTGCATTTATTTTTATAGGAAGATCTGGGTCCTCCTCCAATCGATACAAAATGGCATTTTCAGATGTGATTTTCTTTTCCCCCAGATAAACTTGGAGGTTCGAAGAATAAGACTCCGAGTTGAAACAATCTCAAGGCTAATGCTTGTGTGAGGACGTCGGGCTCCCGCCGGCTGAGCCTGGCTGCCCGTGGCTGCAGCGTGGGGTCGCGCTCCTCTGCCCGCTCCTGACGGGCTCCTCCAGGACAGCGACGGACCGCATAGCTGCTCGGGGCCACACCGAGCCCCAGTGATGAAGACAGGCCCTGGCTCTCCTCACAGGATGGAGGGGCAGGAGGAGGAGGAGGAGGTGGAGGGCAGGGGCTCCACCCACGAGCTTCGTGCACAGGGAGGTGGTGGAAGCCTGGGTTCTAGGTCAGCAGCTGGAGCCACATAGGCAGATTCTGCCTCAAAACCCAACCAACCAACCAGTCGACCAACCAATCGTACCAACAATACAAACAAAACAACCAAAGCAACACACCCAACAGGAGGCCTGCGGGTTCCACCTCCCAAGGTCTCTCCTTGGCAACAAGGGCCAGTGACTCCCAGGCAATGCCATCAGGACAGGGGCTGTCCTTGCTGCTGAACCTCGGAGGGGCAGGGCTACCGTCTCCTGAGCTCTGGGGTGACGCCAGGGCTGCCCTTTCTCTGTAACTGCGTAGGGCCAGGAACTCCCTCGCACCACCTGAGTGAGGCAGCGATGAATTCTGGTGGGAACACCTGCTGGCCAAGCTCCCAAGGTGCCCCGTCCCTGCAGGGTGGTTCTGGACCGGCTCCTGGTACCTTTATCAGGAACCTCTCTCCTGCCGTGTAAGATGCATTGCTTGGTCCTGGCCCAGTGGAGGGATGGGTGGATGGGGACCCCAAGAGCACCACTCTCCAGTGGTGAGCCAGAGCGACAGCTTCCGGGCTGGATCCCTCCTCCACCCGTGCTCTAGAGAGCGCCGGCAACCTGTCGTAAATCACGGCACTTGAACTGAATGAAAAGGCGCTTCTTAATTACTTCATTAATAAAGATCATCAACATTCTCTTCGCATCGCAAAAGGAACAGAAGGCCAGATTGCACAACTGCAACTAAAATATTGTTATGAATGCGGATAATAAAGAGAGTTAATTCCGCTTACATAACCTCACCCTTCATTACATAATCCTTGGTGTACCATTAAAAAAGGAATCAACTCGCCTATAAAGGTTGAATTTTAAAACAGCTCCGCAACAGATGTGCCGGGGAGAATGTGCGCACAAGCAGAGGCCCCATAAAAACTTGCGTTTGCGTGTGGCAGGGTCCATTAATTTATGACATAATCAGCTCACTTGGCCTGTTTACTTTATGCACAGCGATTCGGGGGCGCACGGAATCTGGATCTGCAGAAAGTCTGGGGCCCCGGTGCTCATTTCAGGGCCTGCTTCTTATAGACAGCAAGGAAGTACTTTTTAGTGCCAGGGGCGCCAGGGGTGAGGTCACACCGTGTCGTCGTCGTCGGATGTCATACCTTTGCAGCTAGGGGGCACCTTGGAGGTTGGTCTGGTGGCTCCAACAGCTGACCTTCAGAATGGACAGTGATGAGTGGTCTGAGCTGGCCGGGCCCAGTGGCCCGATCCTTCCTACTCTCCCAGCACGTGGAAGTCCAGCGTGGCAGAGGAAGCACCCGCTTCTCCTGAGGTGGCCCACTAGAGCTGCAGGAGCTAGGACCCTCTGGGGAGTTCCCCCAGCAAACCTGGCCAACACGTCCCCAAGACCAGCGTTCCCACGGGGCATGTCCCGCATACCCAGCCTGCTGAGGCTCGACCCTGCGGCCGGCCGCGTCCCCTCCAATCTTCTTTTCGAAGCTAAAGATCCTGCTCACTCTGTTTCTTCCAGCCTTTCCTGCCCCGTCCGAACGTTTGCCAGCTGGATACTGGGTTGGTTCTCTATAGGCTGGGCTCGCTGAGCCTGCGGAGTGACCTTGCTTCCTGAGTCCTTTCCTCAAGAAAGCTGCTGCCCAGCAGTGGCCTCTCCTTCTGTTTCCACACTGAACTGTGAGACGCTGCTATTTTATACGAATGTGGGAGTCATACACTGACCATGTCAAGACAAGTGGGTGCACCAGGTCTCGTGTCCCTGTGTACCTGTCGGGGCCGCCTGGCTGCCAGCCACATCCCCGAACCCTCGGCTGACTGCGTCCACTTGCTGTCCGCGGTGGGCTTCTCTTTGGTGGGCTCCTAGACTGTCTCCGTTACGTTCCTGCAAGGCTCCTTCTGCCGAGGGCCGTGCTGCCTTTCTTCCCTGGGACCCAGGGAGGCAGCACGGGGCTGGCACTTAGCTTCAAAAACTCACCGCTTCCTGGTTGAAGGAACGTGGGAGACACTGCTACACGCCAACGCTCCTGCAGCGGTCTCCTCCAAGCCAAGCCGGGGGTGCTCCTGACTGCGGGGAGCAGGGCTCCTTTGTCCCTTCTACCCACTCTGAGCCAGGCTCACCTGACCACCTGGTGTCCATCTGTGACCCCTGTGTTGCTGGTGGGGACCTCAGCCAGCTCTGGCATTGGGTTGTGGGCAGAAGTGGACACAACCCCGTAAGCTGTGGTGACCCTCCAGCTCCGGAGTGCCCCACTGAGCTGGTGCCCCCCACTGAGATGATAAAGCCACCCCCTGGAAGTCACTCAGGTCCCTAAGACACTGCTTGGAAGGGAACGGTCCACAAAAGCCCCTTGATCGGCAGCAGAATAAGACATAAAATATCAATGCACGGAACCACTGAGATTAAGGGGTTAATTTATTAATTTACTTCTACAGCCCAGATCGGACCCTCACACTATCCGGAGCTCTAAAGCTGTGCACTTCACAGGTGCTTACTGAGTGTGGAGTGCATAATGGATGTTGACACTTCTCCCTTGTCTGTATTTTTGCCTTTTTTTTTTTTAAGTGTTCCTGTTTTCACGGGAACAGAACATCATCTTCCGCTGCCTCTGCCTGCCCAGCGCTGGGGTCCTCTTGTTCTGACACGTGACACGGAACCTGCCCAGATCCCAGGATGGATGGAGGCGTCACTGGCCCCGGGCGCTCCTGACTCCCCTGGGTTCAGCTACTCAGGAGGCCTGGGGTGTGGGGTTCCCCACACACTGCCGGGAGTGGAGAGGACGCTGGCTCCTCCCTGTTGTCAGGGTAACTGGAGAAGTTGCTGGTACCTTGACAACTTGTCCTGCAGGCGCAGCTCCCAGCATGCCCTGCACTGGGAATGGTGGCCAAGGGCCGGCACTAATTGCACACACGCAACCGTGAGGGGAACGAACCGGGACGGGGAGGTGGGTGAGGATAATGCGACGGATGTCACCTCCAGCTGGAGAAAAGGAAGACAAACAGCCTGGCGATCTCACAGCTGGCCAGCCGTCTCTGCTGAGGGGCTGGGCTGGGGGCACTGTGGGCTCTTTCTCTGTGACGTTCTGGGTTTTCTGTGCCTTCTAGAATGAGCGCGCATTCACAGTGCCAGAGGAACACTTTTCCAGATCTGATTTTCATTTTGCTCCTGATTGCTATGCATAGAGGCCAGGCACTCCACACGCCTGGGGTTGCTCAGTGCCCAGGACTGTCCCACCAATGTGTGGCCAGACCCACACTCTGTGGTGTGCAGTGGTGCCCTGGGGCGCAGCTGTCCAAGGCTTTCCTGGTGTCCAGCTGGCCCCCAGGAGCACCTCCCTCCTCTCGTGCAGCCTCTTCCTGGCCGCCTAAGGGCCGCTCCTCACCTCTGGACTCCTGTTGGCCCCCGCTGCCTTCCGGGGTGTCTGCACCTGCCCGCCTGCCCAGGTTGCCTGCCTGTGGCACCCCCAGGCTCAAGACAGGGTCCCCACGGGATCCTGGCCAGCACACTGGGACTCAGCTGCTGTGTAGGGCTGAGACCCCTCTTATCTGCCAGTCTCCCCAAGTCCCCAGTGGCAGGCCAGGCCGCTCTGGAATGTGACGCTCCCCTTTCCCGCTGGCCCTCATCCTGTCCTTGCCTCCTGCTCCAGGAGGACTACTTGGTGGGAGGAGGACAGAGCCATGCCATTCCCAGGGCCACCTCTAGCACAGGGCTGAGTTCCAGCGGCATCAGAGACACCCGGCTGGGTGGGATGGGCTCCAGCCCTGGGGTGGGGGCACTCTCCGATCTCTCAGAGATGCCCTGTTGCCCTGGGAGCCCTGGCACCCAGATGGCAGTGGTTGCCCCTCTGCTGCTCCATGGGCCACACACAAGCCGCAGCCTCCTGGTCCCTGACTTCTAGCCCAGGTCTTCACTCACTGCATGGCATTGCTCTCCGTCCTCAGCTGCACACGGGGGAGGAAGCTCCTGGGCTGCCCTCGGCCTGGAAGATCCATCCTGCCTCCTCCAGGGGAGACATGCCGTGCAGCCCCAGGCAGAGACCATGCTGTGGTCCCATCTCTGTCCTCCAGGATGCGCATTGCAGACTGTTTCTCCCAGCTGACCCCGCAGGTGGGTGTGGCCAACAGAATGGGGCAGTGCGATGGCCAGGTTTCCAGGCCTGGCCCTGTCCAAGCTGGCCACGTGGTCCTCTGTGGCTTCTCTTCTCTGCTGGGACTCAACAGGTGATGGGATGGCTGCTCCTGAATGATCCCCCCACCCACACAAGGCCTTGAGGTCATCTTAGGGGGACCCCTGGGCAGCTGCCCTGGTCAACACCGCCCCAACTACTCAGTTTAAAAGTTCCCTTCATCCCAGAACTCTGGGAGGCTGAGGCAGGAGGATCACAAGCTTGAGTCCAGCCTGGACAGCTTAGCCATTTAGTGAAACCTTGTCTCAAAATGAAAACAAAGAGGGGGCTGAGCGTGTAGCTCAGCTGGAAGACCCTGGGTTCAACCCTCGTATGGCAAAAACAAAACCAAACCAAAAAGCCTCTTCAGTGTTACAAGCCCAGTGGAGCTGGCCATACAATATTATGAGCACCAAACTGCAGGCTTAAAAATAGTTACGACAGTAAATTTCATATGCATTTTATTATTATAAAAAACCTGAGGGACAAATCCTAAGTCACTACAAATTGGGTTTGATGTGTGAAATGTAGATACAGCATCAACTGTTTTTTGATGTAGTTCCTCTAACAGAATAAAAATCACAGTTATAAGTGCTACAATTTGTGGACCGGCCATGCACTGCTTTACTGAGCTAAGAGAGACCCGACAAGGTCAGGGCGGACCACGAAGCTGTGGGGGTGCTGGCCGGGAGAGGCAGCTTTGGGAGCAGCTTCCCGAGCGAGGGGAGAGCACAGGAATTTTGCACCAGGAACGGGACTCGTCTAGGGCCGTGGTGGAATTTCTCTGGCCTATGGGATTCATCCCACTCTTGTATCTCTCCACTTAACAAACTGATTCTGTCACATGAAAAAAAAATGACAGCTCAGTTCAAAAGCCCAGCTTAGCCGCCACTCGTCCCTGAGGCCTCCACAGTCCCTGCGGGGACTCTGTGCTGGTCTCTGAACGTTTCCCTCCTCAAGGCCGCACGGGTGCTAAGAGCAGGCACCCCTGTTCTCAGTTCCTCTTGGCCTCCCACCCAACCACCCAGATCCAGCGCCTGGTGTTCAGAGCACGTTTGCTGAAGGACTCAGTGAGGAAAGAGCCGGCACTCTCCATGGGTCCCTCCTGCTGTCCTCGAGCATCCCGGGTGACAGGGAGGAGTTCCAGGAGCGTGAGGCCCAGGGAAGCCAGGAGCACGAGGCGGGCCACACAGCTGGAAGGGGCGGAGGGCCAGGCGAGGCACCGTCTGCCAGCCATCCCTCTGACCCACTCAGGATCCCGGGTGGAAGGCCAAGCAGCGGAAGGTGGGAACTTCTCACCGCAACGGGTTCATGCAACACGGAGTGGAAATCTGTGCCTTTCCTAAGACTGCTCACTGGCGTGTGAGGCCATCAGGACCCTGATTTCTCCCAGGTCCCCATCCCGCCTGTGCCCCCAGCAGCTTCCTGATTCACTTCCCATCAGAGGCACACCAGAAGTTCTCGGCTCCCCAGGGCCTGGCTGATAACAGCTGACTGGGGCGGTCGCCTGCACACAGGATCCCCCATCTCCATTCTGGTCCCCAGGACGCTGGCAAGCGCCTCCTGTGCTGTGATCTCTGCCGACCCTCCAGCTCCTGCTTTGCACCCCCGCCACCTGCCGGGCAGCACTGTGCTCTGGGAATCCGGGGCTGCTCTCTGTGCCTGGACTGTCCCCTGAGCACAAGGGCCACCACCTCGTGGCTTTCGCAAGCAGGGAAGCCGCCACGCCTGACCAGTTGCAGAGAGGTCACTGATTACTCAGCTGCAAAAACCTAGCTAATTCGCTGGGGTCAAAAGGAACAGGAAGTGAAAACTGGCCCTGTGTTGGAATTGATTTTTAAAAAGTAGTAAGGATTTTTTGAGCACTTCAAGCGGTTTTTCTAAATTAGATACCAATCTACCTAACTCTAAACCTGGTCGCTCCGGACACATGAAAGGCTGAAAGCTGACAGGTACCACGCTGTGAGCTCACTCCTGAGTGGACACCAGGGCCAGCGCTATCCTGTGGGAGCCCAAGGGGGAACAAGGGGGTAACAAAGGAGGAGGTGACCAGAGATGGCTTTGGTGCTTTGATCTCAGGTATCTACGCAGGGAATAACTCAGCCGGGGCCTGATTCAAAAGCAGCTGTATCTCAGACACATTCTGAAAACATGGCACCTACATTGGGTTCTATTTTCAGTCTAAGAGGCCCTTGGGAAAGCTCTCCGAGTTGCCAAAAGTTTGGTTATTTTCTCCTAACAAATTACTTATCTGTAAAACAGTGGTGCGAGTTTGATTTTCAGCATCGGGCGATGGGGAGCGCGGCTTTCCCTTCACCGGTTGCTCACCTGTGGGCTGAGCCAGGGGCACAGGAGGGAAGTCTTTGGAGAGCAATTTGTTTTGCTAACACAGTGCGGGCCTGTGCTCCGGGCGACACAAACCTCTCAAGCCCAGCACTCCGGGAGGGGCTACTGCGGCTCTCTGCACCTACAGTCCGCACACTGCAGCTGGTTTTGCAGGGAAGGAGGAACAGGCACCCAGGGCACAGGACTGACACCAACCCCAAACCTTTCCCAGCGGAAAGGAGTGGGGAAAGATGTGCCTGGGATTTGCCATCACGATCACCCCGGGGCCATCGGAACAGACCCGGGCCATCCTGCAGACCGCGCTTACCTTTGCCAAAGCTTCTCAAATTCCCTTGGTGTGAGGGGAATGTCAAAGCCGTACAGTGCGTTCTTTATATCCCGCCGTCGGAGAATGCCGTTGCCCTCAGTGTCGGTCTCTATAAAATTCTACAACGTCAGAAGATGACACTTAGTAGCATATAAAATGAGCTTACTGGTCAGTGTCTGGGATGATCGCAGGGATTTCTCTTCCTGCCTGTGCTCAGTCCAAGTCCTAGATGCCCTCATGATCCCACTGGGAAGAGGTGAGCTCAGCAGGACCAACGGTCACCGGCAGGAAGGGGCGTTTCTGGGCAAAGGTGTGGCCTCTGGGGCACGACCTGGAATCCTGCCCCTGTGGACAACCTGGGTCTCCTCGCTACTGGAAATGCAGATGAGCCAGACCCCTAGAAAGAGGGAGGGTTCCTCCCCATTGTGGTTTGTGTCTGGATGTCCCCCAAAGCCTCCTGCAGCCACAGGGGATGGGCTTTTCAGAGGGGGTTCACTGTAGAGTTTGTGACTGACTCATGGCCCAATGCTGGGATTAGGGGGTGACGGTTACGCCTGCTCTAGGGCGGGCAGCCTGCATACAGTGTAAGAGACAGCACGAGGCTTGATCCCACTCTGTCTCTCCCTTGGTGCTTTGCTACGGTCTGCTGGCCAAGAACTCCACACCACCTTGCCTTAGAGCCAGATGATTATGCCCTGAAACCTCCTCAAACTGTGAGCTAAACAGACCTTTCCTCCTTTAATCTTAGATGCCAGCTATTTTGTCTCAGCAACGAGAATACTAACTAAGACCCTGCCCCAATAAGGCAGTGGGTTTGGGCCCCTCGCTGTGAGGGGTGCAATGGGGGACATCAGATGCTAGCTGGGGCCTGGGTAGGGATCTAGGAGGACCACAGACTACAGCAGCACCCGACACCAAGGTGTCCAGCTAATGGTTTCCCCGTGACGGCTCTTTCATGTCCTGGTGGAGACACAATGGCGTAGACAGAATGTGCCCGAGACCCTCTTCCAACGTGACGCCAGCTGGTGAGAGATCAGAACATCCCTCCCACACGAAGAACAAGACGAGTGATCCCCTGGAGTCACCACTGTGCTAGAGGCTCGGCCAGTGCAGTGAGGACTCGGCCAGGAAAAGGAAGGACAGGGAGAGGTGCAGCTGCCAGATCCCGGAGGGCAGCCCGGCTTCACAGGGACACAGCGCAGCCACCTCAGACAAGCGCTACCACCGGCGAATGCAGAGAGAGAAGCCGGATTCTGTGCAGACAGCAGAACGGATCACCTTTTTTATGTCAGTCACAGGAAAAGAACATTTTAAGGATAATATTTAAGGTAGCACTGAAACAGAAAGTCCTCAAGACCTCCATACAGAAATCCTTAGCCTTTCTCAGTAGGGTTTTAAAAATGGAATTTGGCAAACTGGTTCAAAACATTTTGATAAACAGGATGCAGGGAGTGGCCTTCCAGCTAATTACGATATATCAATAAGTTGCAGCAACCGCAAAGATGAGGGGCAGGTGCCTGGGGACACAGATTGACCAGAGACAGCAGGAGGCGTCTGCGGTCGGCAAGGGGAGGAGGGACGCCGGTGAAAGGGGAGGCCACCGGGGCGTCCCTCGGGAAGAGAGGAGTCTGCTTCAGCCTCCTACCAAGTAAGCAGCCAGTCCAGATCTGAGCGGGAAAGACGAGCTGCTAAACTCCTGAGATTCCGAGGAAGAGCGTCATGACCTCAGGGGAGGACAGGATCTCTCAAACAAGAGCTCCACAGAAACTTCAATGCATTTGATTACACAAAAAAAGAGCTTATATTTATTACAAGATTTCAGATTTTTAAAAAAGGCAAAAGCACAAATCAAGCTTGCAGGAGAAATGTCATCAGCATTACTCACACAGGAGTGGTGACCAGGGCCGGGTGCAGCTTGGTGGCAGAGACTTTGCTGAACGTGCAAAGGACCTGCTGGATCCCGGGCACTGCAGTGAAAAAGGACCCAGGCCACCGTAAAAACTCCTGTTGGCCAGTGAGAAAAAGAGGACTCAGTTTGAACACTGTTAAAAAGTCTCAAGTAAGCACCACACAACAAAGAAACCCTGACTAATGGATAAACAAGGGAAAAGATGCTCGAGCTTATTAATAACTGATAGAATGCTAATTAAACACAATAAAACACTATTACAACTGCAACAGCACTGGAAAAGTTATGTCTGAGAGGAGCAAGGGCCACAGGGATGGGGCTGAGTGTGCCCCGGGCCTTGCACAAAACCAAAAATATCTACCGCCCAGTCTCCTCCAGAAGTGTACTGATTGGATCCTGGTCTAAGCTACAGATAATACTCGTTCCCTTCAGCCTGATGGTCATTACATGATGACCATTTTAAATTTATTTGGACTATGCAGACACACTTTACTCCATAGAGAGTCATTTTTTAAAATTAAGGTTTAAAAATTAATCCTAGGGGATTTCAAAGCCCCTTTGAAAACATGTAAAAATATCAGAAGGCACCACTCTGTCCCAACAACTTGTAAAAACCTGACCAAATTGAAAAATCAACAATAATCCTCAGATCCAAAAGGGAAGTCAGATCACAGAGCAAACCACTTCCTCCGAGCCTGTAAAGAACAAACGGAGAATGCAAAAAATCACAGCTTCCTGGTGCAGAAGCCTGTGGGCAGAAACCTCCGTGGGAACCACAAGACAGAAGCAAAAAGAACACTCCTAACTCACTCTAACACCAGACCTACGAGGAAACTGCAGGGCAGCACCTCTCACGAAGGGAACCGTGAAAATCCTCAGCGAAACACAGCAAACTAAACCCAACATTATACACCGAGAACTACCCGCCTTGACCAAGTGGGGCTTGACCCAGTTGTATAAGGATTGGTTGATATTAGAAAAATTCATTAAAGTAATCCATCACATCAACTGAAAAAAGAAATCACATGATAATACCAAAGCTGAAACAAAAGCACTTAACAAAATCTAGTGCCCGTTTATAAAACTCTTTGTAGGCAAAGGGTAGAATGAACTTGCTTAGCTTGATATAACATAGCTACAGTGACCACTAGGTACAGCTAGCATCACGTCTGAGGATGGGACAGCGGCCGCTCCCCAGGAGCGGGGCTGGGGTGCTCCCTCTCACCGCGGCCTGTCTGTGCGGCATGGGGGAAGCCTTAGCTGATGCAATGGCAGCTAATGGAAATTACAAGTATATAGACTGGAAAGTCAGCAATAAGACTGATTCGAAAGCACTAAAGAATTGAAAATGCAAACGGAAACTCGCTTGGAAGTAAAAAGCAGCAGTAGCAATGTTGCAGGATACAAGACTAGTACACACAACTCGGTCTCGTGTCAGCAGCAAACAAGTGGAATTTGAGATTCAAACAATATCATTTACATTCGAATGCCCAAGAAGAAATACTTAGGTATAAGTTTTTTTAAAAAAAAAAATACAAGAGCTGCATAAAGAAAACCACAAAACTCTGATGAAAGCCCAGAGTGCGGAATGACACGCAGAGATCTCCCTGCTAACAGAAGGGAATGCTCAGCATCATGGAAATGTCCGTTCTTCCCAACATGATCCACGCACTGTTGGGTTCAACCCCAACTAACACCCCAGCGAGTTATTTTGCGGAGTGACAGACTCACTCTAAAGTTCATCTGGAGAGGGGAAAGGCCCAGAATAACCAGCACAGCTCTGAAGTCCAAGAGAAAAGCTGGAGGGCGAACATGCTCGACTTCCACATGCCCTGTGAAGCTACAGTAATCCCTGCAGCACAGAGCAGGCGGAAGACCAGGAAGACACGGCGGTGGGACCAGACGGCTGTCTAGCCAGAGCCAGCCCCCCGCAAACACAGCCAACCGCGCCTCGACAAACTGGTGAAGACAACAGGGTGGACAGAAAGCGTTTTCAACAAATGGTGCTGGGGAGGCCCCGACACACAAAACAGCAGCGACAGAAAAGTCCAGGCAGGAACCTCACACACTTCATATAAACTCTCAGTGGATCTCACACCTGACGGTGGAACACACAGCTGTAAATGCCCACAAGACAGCAGGGGAGAAAATCTAGGTGACTCATGTTAGCATTTAGGCATTTTATAAAGAATTTTAAAACAACAACAATAGTAAAAAAAAAAATCCATCTTAAAAATGGGCCCAGAGCTTAACAGGCAAACAAGCATAGGAAGAGATGCCCTGGATCCCCGGTCATCAAGAAAATGCAAATTCAAGTAACAGCAGTACGCCACCGCACATCTAGGAGAATGACCCAAATGCGGAAGGCCACCAACACCAAGTGCTGGTGAGGACCAGAGAAAGGGAGCCCTAAACGGACAGGAGACGGGGTGCCCCAGCTTTGGTAGATCTGCGTGGGGACAGCACTGACCCCCACTGCCCACAGTCAGCCTTGTGCTTGCTGGCTGGCACCTCCACCAGCCTGTGAGCTCCACACGGCGAGCGTGAGGCTGTCCTTGGTGACCGGTGGGTCCAATGCGTGCCTGGCACACGTGCTGAGCAAATCAAAGCAGGGAAGGGCAAAGCAGGGGTGGGTGGCATTGGTCCTTGGAGTCCCCAGTGTCCACGGGGGGCAGCAGTGGATGAGGCAGGGGCTGGACTCAGGAAGAGCGGTGGCAGCACTGCCCTGGGAGCAAAGGCTGGCTGGCTACAGAGGAGAAGTGCGTTTGTCTGTTTCTTTTTGCTCTTTTCCTTTGTTTTGGCACTGGGACTTGAACCTTTGCCTTCACGCTGAGCTGCACCTCCAACCCTTTGTACTTTTAACATTTTGATACCGGGTCTCAGTAAATTCCCTGGCTGGGCATCCTCCTGCCTCAGCCTCCCAGATTGCCAAGACTGCAGACATGCACCACAGTACCTGGCTAGGGACTCTTCATTTACTAGGTCAAACCTGAGTGACAGAGGTCACAGGGAAGCTGGCACAGAGGACGGGACAGCACTGGCTCCAGCAGGACCCGCTGTCTTCCCAGCCACCCTGCACTGAGGCTTCTAGCCCAGACCCTGTCCTGCGCTCCTCGCCGACTGTGTGACCAGGGAGGACCAGCGGAAGACCTGCCTCAGTGAGCCGTGCTTGGGGCTGTGACTGGCTGGGCTGGCCCAGCGCTGGAGGGGACTCAGTGGCCAGAACTATACAATGGGAACAGACCGAGAAAGAGCAAATGGAAAGATGGTGATTAAATGACTCCCAGCCAGACATCTCCCCAGGGTGCAAATACTTCTGTCACGCAGCTGAAAAAGGTCCCTGCTGGATGGTGTCACCGTGTCCCTGTGCACTGTGAAACAGCGATCCCTTCTCCTTGGTTTCAGTGGGACCCGAGCTCCTGTGTACCCCACAGGTGCAGCTGTCACGTGGTCAGAGTACCCGCCCACACCTCAAAACCCCAGCCACACCTCGCAGAAGACAGCGTGCAAGGGCGTTGGCTCGGTGAATGGGCTTCAGATCAGTTTGGCAAGAGAGGAAGACATGGCTCGTTAAGATGCGTATTTATCACTGTGCCAAATTACATATGACAGCTCCTCATATTTTTCATTTAAATTTGTAATTCTCATCCGGCTTGGACTCTCACCAGGACTTTCTCCGCACAACTCCTATAATTATGCGTCTTTGTGAACACCCAGTTGACCTTGGAACGTGAGGGTTTAGTCTGAAAAAATCTCCCGAGGACAGAGGAGTCCACGGATCGGGGGGATTGAGACAGCCTGGTCTTCACACACGGGAGCACGTTTTCTCCTTTTAAGGGAATCATCTTTTTCTTACCTTAGACAAATCTGTCCATCTGGTTTTCGCTTTGATGACAAGATACTGATGAGCCTGCTCGCAGGCTAGTTCTGAATCTGCTACTTTCTGTTTGGGTCTTAAAAGAGAAAAAAATTAATAAATAACTGTGTTTAAATTTAATGGGCGCGTGAATCTCCCAAGGGGCTCTCCTACCCCAGTTCGTTTCAAAGATACCATTAAAGTCTGTTATTTTTACATCTGGACTAACTTAATTCTTAAAATACAGTCTTATTTCCCCAGCTGCACGGCAGGGAAGTCTTAAATTCTGAAAGTCCCTGTTCATTTTCAGACAAATGCCATTCAACTTTTTTCTTTTTCTTTTGCAACACATAAAACAAACAAGGGCTCATTTATTCACCGAGGGGGAGGAGACCATAATACAACATTCAGTGTCTGAGAAATAAACAAGCAGCTACGAACTTTTCTTTTTGAATTTGCAAGCTGGGGAGAGAAGAATGGGGGGGGGGGGGCGCCCAGCCTGAACAGTCAAGGTGTAATTAGAGAACACGGCGCACAGGTTTCTGGGTGCCCACTAACTTTCAAAGGTCAGGTCTGCAGGATCAGGAGAGACTTGACATTGGGTCACCTTGGCTCACAATGTGATGGACACTTAACCCAAAGACCTGGTTCTCTTGGCCCTGGGTACCAGCGTGGTGAAACTGGGCCAGAGGAACTGGGGTGCCTGGGTCTTCCCTCTTGCTGAAGCAGGTTGGGTTGAGGGTGTAACTAGACAGTGTGAGGTGACCCTGTAATGGGCATGTGGCCGGCAGGTGCCTGCCTCAGTCACTGGCCGGGGTGAGTGTGTCCCTGTGCCTGGCTCCCCTCCCACACCTGTGACGTCCCCAGCTGCCTGCTGGACGCTTGACCCACACCGGCGTCCCCCGCCGCTGACCTCACCTGCCCTTCTGCGCCATGGCTCCAACTGTCTACCGGACTCTGAGGGACCACGGAACTTCCAGGCAGAGAGGGCTCCGAGCTCTGCCACCCCTGTGCCCTGTCACCACAACAAAAGGCTGTGGAAGGCTGTGGGACCCTCTCACATCTGCTGCTTTTACTTAAAAGGATTTTAAGTGTCGTCTTTAGACTCTTCCTAAATCCTCCCTGAACACAAGGGACTCACTGGGACAGTCCCACAGCTGTCTCTGAGGGGCATGTGCCACCCCTCTTCCCAACTCAAGCTGAGCAGATGGGCGTTCCTCCCTCCCAGAGAAATGCAGGGCAAACACACTGAATAGTAAGTGAACGGGGTAACCTCAGATGCCAACAGTCTGCTCGGCTGACGGGGGAAGGGACCTTAGCAGGATGTGTGTGGGGAACTCAAGGGGCACCCGAGCCATGCAAGAGTCCCGGGCACACTTCTGCTCCCAGGGGGGTTGCAGTGGACTCCAATGCCCTTCTCCCCCTTATTACCACCACAAGCTTTGCACAGAAAACACACCGCTGTGAGGACACGAAGACCTAAATGACAGGAGGCTGGCAGAGAGAAATCAAACTCAGAGAATGACAGTCATGCATGTGTGTCTCCTGCCATCTTAGGGGAAAGGTCAGTTCTAACTGTAAGTGTGCAGAGAGGATCTGGACAGACACACACACACATACAGAGAGGAAAGGACTCCAGAAAGAATGGCCACCATCAAGAAACCAAACACCACCTCCCCGGTGAGGCTGCAGGGGGAAAGGGAGCCTTCTGCATTGCTGGTGGCAATGCGAACTAGCACAACACCAAGGAAATGTGTGTGGTGGTTCCTCAAAAAACTAACACTAGAAACTCTCTTCCACTCCGACATTCCCTTCCTAGGCGTCTTCCTCAAAGAGCTAACGTCATTATGTGGCAGTGGTACACGCACGTCCATAAAAGCTGGGTCTTGGGGGCAGCGTGTGTGTCCATCCAGGGACAAAAGGACAAAGAAAGCATGGTGTTTACACACCACGGGCGCTGCTCTGCGGTGACGAGAGGAGAGGTGAGCTGGGCATGCAGCTCAGCAGCATAAGCTCTGCCTGGCTAGTGTGAGGCGGTGAGTGTGATCCCTGGTACAAAAAAAAAAGAAACAGAGAGAGAGGGGAGAGACAGAGATGAACTTGGGTCACCTGTGGGGAAGCAGGTGCACCTTGAGATCATAATGGTTTTGCTTTTGTTTTTATTTTTATTTCAAAGAGGGTAAAATTAAACAGAACAAAACAGATCATAAGAAAACAATGTAAGAAACACAGATTTCAAAGCAGGACCACCGGAGATCTTCACTGTCTATCATATTGTCTCTTGTTTTCTTCCAAATAGCTGTCCATATCTTCACACAGTGAATTCATACCAAACAAAATAGTATTAGACTGATCCGAACAGGATGATGAGGGCATTTTAGGTCTTCAAGACCAGACAATACGGAAGTCAACAATGGCTGCCACAGTGTCTCTCATTCCCGTCAACATAGCTGTCCATACTTTTACGTATGTTGAAATTAAACAAAAGAAAACAGACTAGTATCACTCTGAACAAAGAATAATAGTATTGCTAGATTTTATATCATATATCCCAGCGCTACGGAATTAGCACTGGGTATCTTAGTGTCTCTTTTTATTCAAGTATCTGTTCATTACATCGTGCATTACATAATCTGTTCTTGTAAATTGTTTAGACGTTCTATGCATGCATGAGTTTCTACATGTATATCTATCCTTTCTGTATTAGAGGGAAAAAAATCAAAACAAGACCACAAAACAAATTCCTAGAAAAACACGAAATGAAAAAGACATATAAAACCACAATACTAGGTGATCTACACTATTTACTATGATGTCTCTTGTTATCTTTAATAGAACTGTGTATATCATCAGGCATAGTATAATTGAACATAGCAGTACATAGAAATATTAATAAAAACAAAACATTGGAGACATTATAGGACTTCAAGAACAGTTAATAATCAAACCAGAACAGGTATCCTACTGAATCTTGTCGTCTTCAGAATAGCTGCCCCTACTCTCAGACTTGATACTATCAAGCATACCAGATTCAAATAAAACCAGTCAAAGTAAGACAGTGTAAGTAATACAGGGCTTCAGCTTAAGGTAGTAGGAAATTAAGGACAGTTAGCATAGTATATCCTGCTATTTTTGGGATAGCTGTCTGTGACCTCAAATCTAACACAAGTAGACAGACTGAAACAGAATAAAATCAAACTAAACAGAGTGATTAGGCTCCTGTGGCTTTTAAATCCTGATACACTATTAACGATGTCCTCTGCCTTCCTTTTTTAGGTAATTCTTGCCCCTTCACATCACAGGGTGCTTTGTACATTTTGGGTCCCACTAACTCCTTTAGTTTTTAGGTTAGGGGGTAACCCACTATCTACCTAAGTGATTCTGAACCTTTTTACCCCCGAGCTGGATGTTGAGCTGTATTCCTTTACTTACTAACGCATCAAGGTTTCCCTTCCTTATACCTGAGTAGTTCTCCATTGTATAAACATGTCTTTCCAACCAATCTTCAGCTGAAGGGCGAGCTACCCTCACTTTTTTCTGGTTCCCTGTCACATAGAGCATTGTTTTCTCATATTTGACTTTTGGTCCATAAACCCTCTTTCAGGTTAATTATATTTCTTATATAGAGCGTCTTGACGGATGCTATCTCCTGAGCCACTCTGCCCGTGTTTCTTTTCACTAGTGTATCGAGCCATCTGTGTTAGTGATTATGGCCAACCTTCTCTGCCTCATCTCTGCTATGCTATTTTTCTGTCGTTGGTTGTCTACTTTTCTCCTTCATTCCACTGTCTGCCCTGTTCACTGGGGTCTCTCTGCCACCATTCCTGGAATCCTGGTGATTGTTTTCTCTCTCTCTAGAATGTCCTTCAGTATTTTTTGTAGGGCTGGACTGGTGGTCATGAACTCTCCCAGTTCCTCTTTGTCATGGAAGCATCTTGTTTCTCCATTAATCTTGAGAGACAGTTTTGCAGGGTACATCAATCTGGATTGGAAGTTGTTTTTTTTTCAGGGCTTGGAATACTTTGCTCCAAGCTCTTCTTGATTTGATGGTTTGTGTCAAGAAGTCTGTTGTGATTTTGATGAGCTTTCCTTTACAGGTGATCTGTTTCTTTTCTTTGACTGCTTTTAATATTCTGTTCTTGTGTTGAATTTCTGGGACCTTGATTATTATATACCTGGGTGTAGCTCTGTTTTGGATGTAGCTGGCTGGAGTTCTGTATGCCTCATATATCTGAATATTGTTTCTTTTTCCTATGCTTGGGAAGTTTTCCTTAATTATTTCTGTGAAAAGTCTTTGTATTTCATTTGTGTTTACCCCTGCTTCTTCACTCACATTTTTTATTCTTAAGTTATAGATCCTCTTGTCATCTTCTAGCCTTTGTATTATTACTTCCTGGTTCCTCATTATTTTTAAGAGATCTTTTCTTTCATAATCACATATTGCAAATCTATCTTCAAGTTTTGATAGTCTAGCTTCTTGTTAGGCAATTTTTCCAGCTTTCAATGGAGTTTTTAATTTCCTGGTAATCTCTTTGAATCTGTTTCATGTATTCTAGATTTTGTTTATATTCTTCATCAAAGGTTTCTCTCCTCTTTCTGGGTTTCTCTGTTCTTCCGTGTCTTCTTGAGAGGGGCTTAGTATTTCTTTTATTAATATTTTTATATCTTGCCTCACTTGAATTAGAATTTCAGTTTTAAGTTTGTCTATGAGGTCACGAAGGTATTCCTTTATATCAGTATTTCTTTATATCAGGTATTTCTTTATATGCCACGTCCGACATTGTGTGTTTGCTTCACTGGATTTCTTCTGTATTTACCTCTCCTGAACTTATTTTCCTTGGATCAGCAGCTGTAGGCTTTGTCTTGCTTCTTTCTCATGTTTCTGGTTTCTTTCAGACAGGTGTGCGGTGGAGGTCTCAGGTCCTTTCCATATTGCTTATGATTTTTCTGAAGCATGCTGCCTAGGGGATTGCTGCCCTCTCCAGTTTGCTGTTGATCTGTGAGGTGCATGCAGGGACGATGTGGGCTGGCCCCTCTCCTCTGAGCCAGTCATTCAGCAAGTGTCTTCAGTGCATTACTCTGTGCTGTGCGGACATCACAGGTTTGGGACAGTTTCATCCCTGGATTTTGGGTCCTGACCAGGGGCGTGACCCAGCCCAAGCAGATCCCACCAGTCTGCTTTGGGCCAGGAGCAGCGGACTAATGCCACTGCGGTTGTGGGTTCAGGGCCGTCCTGCCCAACTCCAATATGTCATCCAGCCCTGCAGTCACCTCCCCTGCAGGACCAAATTCCAAGCACTCACCGCAGGTCAGTGCAGCTCTCCACGCCGATTCTGCCCTGCACTGCAGCGTATCCTCCCGCAGAGGCCTTGGCCTCACCAACCCTGATTTTGGCAGCTGTGACTTCAGCGTGACCACAAGTCATGTGACTCCAAGGTGCCCAGCACAACGCGGGACCAGCTCCAGCGAGAGCGCGTTTGGCTCCAGCCTTCAATCCATGTTCTTTCTCTTTGTTTCTTTCATTTTTAATCTTTTTCTTTTTCTAATTCTTTTTCCTCAGCTTCTTCCTGGGTGGTGAGAATCCTTGTGTTTTCACCTGGTCTTCTCCATGGTGTTAAATTCTAGCGTCTGAGTTGCTTTTCTTAGAGACGCTCTCTACCCTGCTGCCCTGCTACACCATCTTCCCAGGATGGAGAGAGACCACAGTGTTAAGTGACACAAACTGGACACCCAGGATCAGCCGTGCATGATTTCTCTTACATGAGAATATAAACAAAATATAAACAAACTGAAGAGCAAAATCAAAGACGATAGGAAACGGGGAGACAGAGCTTTCGGAAACAGAAATGGGACTGAGAGGCCGGAAAGCAGAGCCCGGGGCAGGAGGGGAAAGATGCACAGAAGGAGGCGGCCGCGCTCCGTCCAGCACCTGCCCACGGCGCATGTGCAGCTCTGACTGCAAGTGGGGACTCTCACAGTGAGGGCTCAGGAAGGGCGTTTCCCAGAGGTTAGAAACGTCCTAAAATTACATCGTGATGCTCTTGTGTACACCTCTTTAAATTTACTAGAAATCCCTTAATATAAGCACATTTCAGGGTCTATAAACTATACTTCAATCAAACGATCACAACTTTTAATTATAGCCTGACCAAATATCAATTTAGATTCTGAAAATGTCCTTTTCCCTTCTTGATGTGAAATAAAAATAAAAAATGGCTCCCCGAGCACAGCGAGGATGTGGCTCCGACCTGGGCACTGCCAATGATGCATTTCCAAGCAGGAAACTGGAAATCCACTGTTGTCAGTCAGTCAGTCGTTCGACAGGAAGGACCTTATGACGTGATCATTCGTATTAAGAATCTGCATCACTGCATGCCTATAATCCCAGCACTCGGGAGGCTGAGCAGGAGGATTGTTGCCAAGTTCGAGGCCAGGCTGGGCTACACAGTGAGCTCAAAGACAGCCTGAACTGCACAGCGAGACCCTGTCTCAAAAAGACAACAACAAAAAAAAGTGCACCATCTAATTTTGCGAGGAGGACTGGACAGAGCTCTTCTGACTTCTCCGACACTGCATGTGTCTTCCGCACTTACACTGGTGGGTGGCGGGGGGGCTATGAAGCGAGGTGACTGGGAAGGAGCAGGGCTGCAGGTGTGCAGCGCTCACTGGACCTGTCACTCTGACCGGTCTGAGCACCTGAGACCAAGACGCGCTGCAGCTGCGGAGCAACAAGGTCACCAAACCCAAACGTTTCAAAGCAGTGGATTTTCATGGTGGCCCAGAGGGCAGGAAGGCTTGTAGGAAAGGACAGCCATGGGTGGGGAGCTGAGCATGGTGGGGACAAGGCGGGGGAGGAGTGTGGGCTCTCCACACAGGGGAGGCCCCTCGGGACAGGCACCCCAGCCTCCCTTCTCAGCCACCTCCTCTCTCCAGGCTCCTTAGGCACCCGAGGCCTCTGTCTGCAGGGCCGTTAGCAAAGGCTCCCTGCAGGGCGGGTGGAGCAAGCGACCCCGCAGAGCACAGAGCCTGCCACCTCTCTGGGGCAGCCAGCACCTCGATAGTGCCCTGCATTGCTCTAACCCCACCCTGGGGCGCTCAAACTCCCGGCCCCCCAGTAAGGAGCACACACAGGGATTCACAGCCTCTTCACACCGGCCTCTGTGCCCCAGGAAGCCTCCGACCCTACCACATTTGCACCCCATTGGGGACAGCGTCCAGCACGGGGCAGACCCTGAGTGAGGGCAAGCCGGGTAGGTGAGCAGAGCTACCGCCGAGTCCCTGAAGGCGAAGATTGTGCTTTGTGGCTGAAAATTCTGTGTTCCTTCTGGGCACAACCTCCGGAAAATTCTTCAGGAGGGTTTTGTTGTTGTCGTTGGTGTTTTGTTTTAACGCTCAGCAATCAAGTCCCATCTGAAAGCTCCTTGGAACCTGGGCAATGGGCTGCAGGTGTCCAAGCCACGTGTCATGGGATTGCTCCACACAGGAGGAGATTATGGTCGCTTTCTTGCTTTTTTTTTTTTTTTTTTTTTTTTTTTTTTTTTTGTGGGGCTTAAAATTAAACCTATGAGTGCAGGAGAAAAATCAGTGAAGTGTAGGGTGCGAGGGCCTTGTGTAGCCTCACCAAGCACTACATAGTCTGCACGGTGGCCATGGTTTTGGGGTTGGAGGAGTTGCACATGCCTGGCGAGAAGGGGCATTAACTGGAGCCCCCAGAGTGTAGACACTTCAAGGTCAAAAGGACAGAGTGGGTGTGTGTGCCCATCAGACCAGAAACACAGCTCGATGTTAATGTAGTTGTGGTATTTTGCAAATATGAAATTATGATAGTTGGTCAAGGAGGGGGAGATGGGTGGGTCACACCTGTAGGCCAGCACTCGGCAGTATCCCTGAGGTGGTGGCCTCTGTACTCACAGCAGTGCACATGCTGGTGGAGAACAGGCCAAGCAGCACTGAGCGCAGAGCCTGGCTGGGCACAGAGCCTGGCTGGGCACCGAGACCTCTGCTGGCAGGGGTGAGGCTGTGCGAGCCAGCAGGGCTCTGGGGTCACACTGCCCGACCCCCCAGGACTGGAAGGTAGCACTGACAACACAGTTCCCACCTATTGTCCCAAGACAGGCTGGGCTCCCCAGATTCACCTCTGTCCCCACCTCTGCTCTGCAGGGCAGGAGGGAGGGAGGCTCGGTTTCTGGGGGAACAGTCACCCGTGCCGTCCTGCCCTGCGGTGGCCCCTTGGAGGGTAAGCCTTAGGCAGGGCTCAGAATGGCCTTGGAAGCTGCATTCTTAAAAGGCTGAGCCCAAAGCACATACAGCCCTCTGGGAGGCTGAGTCAGGAGGATCACGAGTTCCAACCCAGCCTGGGCAGCTTTGCAACTTAGTGAGACTATTTTTCAAAAACAAAACAAACAGACAAAAAACTTAAAAGGGGCTGGGAAGGTAACTCAGTGCGAAGACCCTGGTCCTGAAAACCAAAACGACATGAACAGCTGATGTTAGAAAAATGAGTATCCACAGGCAGGTGCCAGGCTGGACGCCCGGCGACACGCGGACTGGGCTCCTGGATGGGAGACGAGGGCTGGGCTTTCTGACTGCTCTGCCCGGGGCCCACAGGCCCGCGTGGATTTTCTCCAAGCCAGCAGAACAAAATAGGACTGATCTGTTCTTTGGGACTCTGCAGTCGCATGAGCAGCGTAGCAGCCTGGGACGCCGCTGCCTCCTTACCTAAGGAGTCTCTGGGGTGCCTCATCCATGGGGGAGGGCCCCTTCTCACACAGGCTCTGAAACTCCCGGAAGTTTAAGGTGACGCTAAGTCTCAAGCCGAGGAGGCCAAGGAGGCGCTCGAACTCCTCGTCCTTCAGGTTGAAGAGCAGCTGCTGCAGCAATCTGTGAAGATCACGCATGCTGATTATGCCGTCCCTGTCAGTGTCTATCTTAAAGAAGGCAGAGTAGGGGTCCTGGAACAAAACGCACAGTCAGCGCTCTTCCCGCTGCACCTGGGGCCGCTCGACTCCCAGCCCCGCTTGTCCTGTGCAGCTGCTTGGGGACAGGGACCACGACCGATGGGGGGTCAGTGGCCCCCGACCTCTTGGCCCCTGGGAACAGTGGCCCCTGTTCCTGAAGTGGCAATGAGAGAGAGCTGCACTCTCCAGCTCTCTCTTTGAAGAGGAGGAGATGGGATGCAGGGACAGAGGAATTCTCCTCTCCCTCCTGCCCGGGGGTGGAGCCTGTGCCCCTGTGCCTGGAAAAAAGTGGGTGCTGGGGTTTTCCCGGCATCTCAGCATCCTGCTCTCTGAGTCTGGGGAGGCCTGCGTAACTGTGGCTACTGCAGCCTAAGGCAGGTGCTGCCTGGAGGGAGGGCTCGGGGATTCCAGCCTCACAGATGAGGAAACTGAGGCAGGGGTAGGGGATGGCGGGACTCGGGCCTGATTGGGGTGTGCTCTAGAGGCAGCTTGAGCAGCTGCAAACCCAGCTCTGCCTCTTGTTAGCTTTGAGAGACGTTTTGGACAGGCTGACCACACTTCCGCTTTCTCACCCGTGACTTGGGGGTGCTGAAGTCCCTGTAACTCCCTCCTCCACCCACGGAGAGTGGTGTCAGCCCAAAAGGCTGCCAGCACGTTCTGCAAGTGCCCTACACAACGCTGCGGGTCAAACTCACAGTGAGCCAGGGCCTCTGTCGGGCCATTGCCTCTGGCTGGGACAGTATCAGATGTGGCTCCATAGCACCCAGCTCTGTCCTACCCCAGGAGTCCCCAGGCTCTGCCCTGTCCCCCTGTTCTCTCCCACAGGGGCTGCTAGCGGGGGAGCCCTGCTTTGACCCAAAGATCTGGTCACAGGTTGGGGACGCAGCGGGAAGATGGGGTGCTGTTCACTTTTCCCATTAGCCAGCACCGGGATGTGCAGTCCTGCGCTAAGCACTGTAGACATCAGTTACGAAGGTTCTGTCCCTGCCTCTCTGATCAGAGCCACCCCCCGGAGGCAGGTGTCTAACTGGCTGTAGCCTCACTTTCCGGGGCTGGGGCTTCTGAAGGCTTCAGGCCCATCTGTTTGTGGATCCCCACTGCACCCCAGCTCCGAGCGCTTTCACGCCCGCATCTCCATCAGGCTGGAGCATTTCCTCCTAGACAGCAAACCGAGCACGGCAGATTCACACTCCAGCCCCAGGCCTGCCCCATCTGCTCCTCCACAGCAGTCCTAGCTCTGTCCCTGCAGGCGGCAGCTCTGGGACCCCACCCCTTGAAGTCCGCCTCGTTTTCCCCCTCAAGCCCCGCATCCCTGTGTCCACCCATCTCCAAACTCCCTCTGCAGAGGGCCTCTGGAATCTGCCCTGCTGCCCAGCAGCACCAGTCACTTTCTGACGTCACTGGGACACTAATTTAAAGGAAGAGAACCTCAATGTGACTCAGATTTTCAGTGGGTCCAGTCCATGGTCAGGAAGGGCATGGTGGCCGGGCTGGCAGAGGACAGCTGCTCACCTCACAGCAGCCAGAAATCAGGGGGAGCAAGGGAGACCTGGGGCGAGAACACCCCTTTCCAGCCCACTCCCCGTGACCACCTCCTGGCAGCACAGGCAGCCACGGACCTCGTGGTGGACTCACTGGTGACTACAGCTCCCCATGACCTGGTCACCTTTCAGGCTTTGAGGACCTCTTGGATCTGCGTCGTACACCAGCACACTGACCCTTCCCCGTCCAGGGTCCCTGGATCCGTAGGAACCCCTCCCCACTGCTGTCCTGTCCTGTTGTCCGTCCCCACACGGCTCCTGCCAGCTCCTGCCGCTGCCCCGCTCCGCTCAATCTCAAGCCCCCTTCCTGCTGCCCTGAGCGCCTCGTGTCTGCCCTGGCCGTTCTGTGCCAGCCAGACGGAGGCAGCCAGGCAGCTCGGCTGGCTCCCCCTTCCCACCGAGCTGGTTCGCCTAGCTTCCTCCTGGTTCCCTGGCTCGGGGTCTGAGCCCTGCCTCTCCTGAGAGCTGGCACTGGACCCCTCCAGGCAATGGCAGTGCCTGTGGCCCCTCGCCGCCATCTCCTGTGCAGTGTGTCTCCTCTCTGCCACACTGCAGGCTTATATGTCCAGGGTCCACCTCTCCCCTAGGGCAGAAGCGTGGGACCTGGGCTGCCATGCGTGCCCGTCCCAGCCCCAGGCCAGGGCGGGGCTCCATGGTAGCTGCGGGAGGGAGTGGCTGCATGGGAAGGAGGCCCTGGGCATTTCCGGGGTGTCTGCTGTGGGCCCAGCCCTTTGCTAGTGCAAACTGAATCCAGTCCCCACAGCTTGTTGGGAAAGAAAGACTGAAGCAAGTGACAGCAACTCAGTGTGACACGGGCAGTAAGTGTGTCCTGTGTGTCCTGCAGCCCTTACGTCTGCATAAGAGGGACAATCCAGGTGCAAGTGACCCAAGTTCACAGTCTGCATCACAGCTCAGCCTTCGGCTTGCCAGGACTCCTACCCCATGACACAGGCTCTGCGGTCAAGCAGATGTTTCTGCACTGCCAGGCTCTGTAACTGTGTGTAAGCACCTCTGCGTCTCTAACCTCAGTTTCTTGACCTATAAAATGGGAACGCTCGTACCTATGTGATAGGCTAAAGCAGACGGGCCCTGTGTGCAATGTGTCTGGTTCACTGTGCAGTGAGTGGTGTGTGTGTGGGGGTCTCCGACAGCTATGCAGGACTGCTGCCGTGTGGTCGGGATGGTGGCATCTCTGGACTGTGTGGTGCCTGGTGAGCACTGCGTGTTGTCAAGAGGACCTGCAAGGATGGACTGGGACAGGGATTGGAGAGAGGCAGTGCGGGAGCCTCACTCATGGGTGCTTTTTAATGGGGTGCAGGGTGCATGCACGGCCCTGCAGCGAGGCGGCCTGGGGAGGGGCTGATGCTGCACCTGCCCAGGTCCAAGGTCAGCTTGCAGGTGTCCCCTAGCTCTGGATTTGGTCGGGACCTAGGTGTGTCCCCAGGCTACCCAGGGGTCTCTGTCCCTGCTTCCGTGGCACTTCAGTAGCACCGGGGTGTGAGGGAACCACGTGACCTTGCCGTGGTCTGCAGACCTGACTGAGGGCTGGGACGGAGCCCTTCACGTCCAGTTCCACCAGTGGCACAGCACGAGCAATTCCAGCAGCGACAGGATGTTAACCAGCTTGGAAGTCCGCAAACAATGCCCTGGACCCGGGGAGCCCCCATGGAACCTGCACCTGGCCTGTCTCACACTGGGTTATAAAAACCTCCCATGGGACGGAGTGGGTGTCAGTGAACGTCCATTGAATCAATTCATTCTTTAATTATTTCAAATAAAGACCACCCTAGAAATACAGGACGTATGTCCCCTGTGCCCAAGCAATGCTTAGACAGCAGTGCCACCAGCCTGGGGCTGGATACCACCCTGCCATACTGTGCCAGGTGGGGGGGTGTGAGGGGGAGACAGGAGAGGGTTGGAGGAGCCGAGCTGGGCTGGGGGTCACCAGCTCCCTGTCCCTTTCCTCTGTCACTGTCCACTCCACGTGACCCTTGCACCCTGTGCACTCGGTGGTGCCCTAAGCCCCTTCCTGTTTGAATGTTGGGGTGGGCACAGTCAGGCGGACTAGTCTTTTGCCATGGATGCATTCACTGATCACATTTTTCCACAGCAAAAATTAGGATACACAGTTTGATGACGGCAGAGAATGTCCCGTCAGGCTGCCCTGGGAAACCCCAGCCAGAAGGTCATGATCAAAGGTTCATTTAAAATGAGAGTGGGGGGAGGCTGAGGCAGGAGGATCACTGTGAGTTCAAAACCAGCCTGGGCTACAAAGTGAGCTGAAGGCCAGCCTGAACTGCATAGTGAGATCCTGTCTCAAAAAGAAAAAATAAATAAATAACTAAAATGAGAGTCGGGTGACCAAGTGACTCTCCAGCTGGTGACCAGCACAGGAAGACAGCTCGGAGCTGGTGGGCGGGTGGAAGGGACGTGTGGCCCTGATGGCACTGCACCAGGGGTGGCAGGATCCCTCCATCCCTTCCCGTGGCTGAGCGCCAGCTGGGAGCCTCAGGGAATGGAGGGGTCTCCCCACTCCACTCTCCACCTGGACAAGCACCTCTCGGACCACACTGCGGCTTCCCCGGGGAGAGCCGTGTACCCCTGGGGTGACCCGGGGCTCGCGCTTGCGTGGACTGCTTGCTGGCAAGCAGGGTCAGGCCTGGGCCGGCTGCCTGCTCAACAGTCACACTTTACCCGGAAGGACTCCCTCAGTCTCTTGGGGAAGAGTTTCAGGCATTCTTCAGCCGTTACGAAGTGGCCGATCAAGGAGCTCTTTGAAGCAGCCGGAGTGTGGGGTGGCGTCACAGCCGGCCCGCCCGCGTCTGAAACAGAGGCAGAATCGTAAGACACCCCGTTAGCGCTGCACGCGCCTCTCAATCCCTCCAGCAGGGCTTTCTTTCCTCCCGCGGCCCAGTTAAACGCTGCCGGTCCGGGCACCCCGAGCTGCGACCGCAGCATTAACCGTGCCATGTGGGATCAGGTGCTTCTCCTCCCCTCAGAGGCCTCTGTGTGGCTCTGAGTTCTTCCAATGGTCTGGACAAGCAGAACCTTCCACACACCTCGTGTGAGCACTGGACAGCGAATGTATCGTGTCTCTATGCAGAGCAGGAGATGGGGTGCACAGGGTCCCCCAGCTATGCAGGTCCACAGGTCAGTGACTGTATTCCGTCCTCTGCCTCCCTTAAGGTGGGGAGCCCCCACCTGAAACCCAAATGGTCCCCATCTGGCCCGGGCATGAGCCTGGGTACACAGTTACAGGACCCCGCTGGGGCGTGCTCTGCACCAGATCGGGTGGGGGTGCTGGGAGGCTGAGGGCATCCTCCAGTCCAAGCTTGAATTTGGCTTCTGCTGCACCCCACCCCAGAGCAGGGGCTGGGCACCGCCTGCAGACACCCTGACCCCTCTGCCATGCCCACCACGGACCCAGCGGGGTCTCCCGAGCTGACTCGCTCTCCCTGCAGGCTCTGGCAGAGTGGGGACTGATCCAGCCAGGCTGCTCTGAGGGGAAGGGGGACAGGCCAGGGGGAGCGAGAGCAGCGCAGGGAGCCTCCCCAGCCCGGGGCTCCCCAGGAAGGAGGCTGCTGGGCAGAGGACACAGAGGAGGCACCAACCCTCTGAAACGCGCACTGCCACCTTGCCTTCCCTGTGCTGCCCCTCAGGACACCCAGGGAGAACGGCAAGACTCCAAAACACACTCAAGTGGGCCCTGTACCCGCAGGTGGAGCCTCCCTTGGGGTGCGCCAAAGTCCGAGTGGGGCCCTGATGCTGAGCCAGCCAGGTCCCTGGACAAGCCACGGTCACCTCCCACAGCCAATGCCACCGAGGCCAGCGGCCAACTTGCAGGGTGCCCACAGCAAAGAGAAGGCCAGTCCCAGGACCCAGCTCTGAGTTTCCCAGCTGTGCCCCAGGCCGAGCTGAGGCCCTGCTGAGAGCAGCAGGGGTGCAGGGCACCAGCGGGGGCACCACTTGCCCTGGCCCCTGGGCAGGAGATGGGCCCCAGGTTCCTCACCACTTTGGGGCCCTGGCTGGGGGATCTCAGGCTCTCCGGGTCCCTGTCGTGGACAGGAAGGCATGCTGCTTGCTTTGCCTGTGGGTGGCATTAATTCTCTGTAACCAGCATCTTCCTGAGGAGAAAACCTCAGGCGTGACGTGTGACTGCGGGAACAGGCTCTGCAGACAACTCAGCACCCCTGACACTCTTGGTGAGCAAACACTTGGGCCAGCTCCGCATTTGCTGCCCCGGTGCCCACTTCTGGCCCTGGCACACAGTGATCTGACAATAGCCGCGGTGCCCTCGGCCCCAGCAGCCTGCTGGCACCAGCAGGGCAGGTCCGTGGGAGAGTGTGGCCACCTGTACCTTCGAAGCCCACTGCGAAATCCAGGTAGCTCATTCCCTCCTTCCTAAAGCCGATTTTTGTAGCCAGCAGCGAATACTGCACCTCATCCATGGGCATCCCGCTGTCTTCCAGCACCTGGCAGGGAAGGGGGATGGTGGAGGGTGGTGAGGTTGGCACCAACACACCCCTCTGCTCAGGATGGTTACCGGCTTGTCCCTACCCAGACTGCTGGGGTGGGGCCTATGTTTGTTGAGTGCATGGGTGACCAAGGAAAGCAGCCAGCATCACCTGCCCAGGCTGAGTCAGCGTGGCACCTGGGCACACCGAGCTTTACATGGCACCAGGGCACAACCTTGGCGTGACGCTTGACTTGGAGCAGCTCCGTGTGGCTGGGACCTGGGCTCATGGTGGCTCAGCAAAGCTTTGCAGGGCGCTGCCACCACCCCGCAGCCCAGTTCATGTGTGTGGTCCCTGCGATGGCTTCTGAGTCCCCAAAGTTATATCCGCATTCGCATGGAGGAAACGCAGACCCAGTAATGTAGGGCGGCTTGAGGAGGGGGCACAGGACCGTCCCTCCGGGGCTGTCCGATGTGGGGGGGTGTCCACACTGTCTTTCCCCCTCTGCCTGGCTAGCCCACCTGCTGACCACATTCCCCACCCTTCCCAGCTGTGCTTCCTCCCAGGCCTGCAGGGGGACTTAGGCAGGAGGGTGTGACAGACCCCGGGCTGCTCAGTGTCACCTGCTGTAGCCCCACCCACCCTGCGACTTGTGGTCCAGCTCAGGACACAGACACAAGTGTTGAGACAGACAGCCGTGCCCTACGCCAGCACCGGAGGCATGCGTTTTTCTCCGCAGCCCCCAGACAGCTTGGTTGCTCGCTTTAAAAAATAACTTTATGTTTTGAAAACAATTACCAATGAATTATTCATGGCAAATTTCTCCTGCCTAGTCCCTTCACAAAAACATATGTAACGGACAGGACAGGAAGGTCTGTAGGCAAGTGTTTCCCAGCCCGGAGGGCTGTGAACGTGGGAAGGGGTGGCAGGGCTCAGGTGGCAGTCCTGGTGCTGTCCCCTGGGGCCTGTGCACGCACACGCCCAGCAGGCAGGAGGTTCCAGACTGGCCACAGATACAGACTCCGTTCTGGCCTCCTCCACCCCGAGGCATAACTTGCGTTTCTAGGGGAACATGGGTTTATCACAGCCCTCGGAGGGAATTCACAGCACAGCACGAGGCTAGGCTGCGCCTTATAAAACAGGCTTATTTTTTTTCCCCAGCACTGGGGACTGAACCGGGGCCTTTGCACTGAGCTGCATCCGCAGCCCTTTTTATCTTTTGGGACAAGGTTTGGTTAAGTTGCCCAGGCCAGGCTCAAACTTGGAACTTCTTGTCTCAGCATCTCCGAGTGCTGGAGATTTCAGGCTCCCGCTATTCATCCTCATCACTTCCGGCATCATCCCTAGGCGGCGTGTTCCCGAGAAAGTCGCTTTAAGCACGACCGACTATGGCCTGGAGTGTTCGGTTCACGGCCTGTGCACTTCTGCTGGCCCTGGGAGGTGAGGCAGGCAGTGGGCTGGTTCTTCCTCACCGCTCCTCATCTGGAGCAGTCGCTGGATCCAGGAGCAGCTCAGGGCCCCAGCGGGCAGAGCCCAGGGACGGCGCTGAGCGAGGACCCGGGCGTTTCGCCACCCAGCTGCTGCAGAGCAGCCTGGCAGAGCCGTGCACGTTCTTGCATGTGACGCTCGTCTGCCGAGCCTCTCTGTGCCGTGCGTGTGGTGGTCTTTGTGGATCTCGGCTCTTGCGGTGCGGTCAGGGGCATCATGCACCAGGAGCAGGAGAAGCAGGGACCTTGCAGCCGCGTGGCCCATCTCTCTGCAGGTCATGCTGCGGTTGCATTTGGCTTGCATTTACATTACTACCAACTCCATCAAACAGGGAGCATCTTGGCTTGGAACACTACTATGCATTCTTTTAAATTACGAAAAACAGTAGTCATTTACATACAATCGGATACCGTCACTTTGAATGTTTGTGCATGCAGGCATGCGCTCGGCACGGGTACTGGGATCCAGGGGCTTGCACCACGCACATGCCAATCCCAGTGCCCAGCCCTGCACGAGCACCCCTGACTGCTTAGCATCAAAGCCTGGGAACCTCCTGCGGCATTATGTGCAGCAAAGAGGGGTCTGCAAGGGGTTTTTTGTTTTTGTCTCATTTTGTTTGACTTGAGAAGCCCACTTGGTTCTTCCAGGAGCCTTGGGCTGCACATGAAATTCCAAGGTGACAGGCTTGACTGGCTTTGGTCTCCTGGGAGGGTCAGGGTCCTTGTCCTGCCGGAGACCTTTGCCCCTTCTGGCCTCTGCTGTTGCACCTGCGAGGCTAAAGGTGGCCGGATCAAGCTCTCTGGTGATCTATCACTTTTCTCACCTGCTTCAAGGATCCCTCTCTTGGAGTTCAGTTTTCGCAATTTGTCTGATTTTTCTCTATTCATTCTCAAGGTTTTCTCAGCTCCTAAAGTCTATCATTTAGGCCTTTCACCCAAACCGAGAGGCGTGGCCCTTAGCTCTTCCCGAGTTCTCCTCTTGTGAGTCTTTCTCTTGTGATTCTCAGTAACCACAATTAGACCTTTGCTAGTACCCTGCAGCCTGCAGGCAAGCCTCTTTACGTTTTCATTTTCACCTTGTTCTCTCTGCTTTGGTTTGTGGAACTTCTCCTGATCCTGCTTCAAGCTTGGAGTCTTCTTCTTTGTTCTGTGGCGAAGCCATCCGGTTAGATTTTTACTTCATGTCTTATTTTTTAGTTCTAGGTTTCCTCCTCCTTCTCCTCATCCACCTCTTTTTCTTCTTCTGAAGTCCTGGGACTTGAACCAGGGCATTTAGACTGATCTATACTGTCAAGCCTTTTTTATTTTGTACCGGATCCTGGCAAACTGCGCAGGCTGGGTGTGTCAACGTGCAGTCTTCCTGCCTCGGCCTCCCAGCCTGCTAGTATAGAGGTGTACCCCGCCCCACCTGACTTCCATTTGGTAGTTCTTACAATTGTAGTTCTCTGACAAGATTTCCTGTATTTTCAACCATTATGGATGCATTTTCCCTTGTATCACTAAGTGTTTTTATAAGAGCTGCTTTCAAGTCTTTGATGGTGTCTTAGTGATTTTCCTCATCACTGGTTGACATCCACAACTTAAAGGAGAGGTTTATTTTACTCTAGGTTTGCAGAGATTTCAGCCCATAGTCAGCTGGCTTCGAGGTAGGGTAGCAGGGCAGAGGGGCCAGGCAGAGGGGAAACAGCTGAGGGCATGGGGGCTGGAAGCAAACAGTGAGACCAAGGGAGGGACTGGGGGACACAGACCGCCCAGGCCACCCCTCGCCCCAGTGGCCCACCCCTCCGACCAGCCTCCACCCCCCCAATCACACTGAGCCATAAACCCACCAGTGGGCTAATCCAAAGATGAGTTTCACCCCAATGGTCCAATCACCTCCCTAGAGTTCCACCCATGAGTGCATAGCTGTTGAGGGGCATCCAGATGTAAACAGTAACGATGGTTAATTTCAGTCCTGGTCACCTTGGAGACTTTTCTCCTGAGAAAGGTCACATTTCCTGTTTCTCTGGATGTTAAGGAATTTCTCACTGTTTCCTCCACATTGTGAAAGTCACCCACGGTGAGCTGACTGTGCACTCTGCTGTGTTCCTCCAAACAGTACAGATTTTCTGTGTTCTTGTGCTGATTTGAGGGGGCAGGAGACTTGCCTAGAGTCACACCGGAAAACCTTCTTTTCGGACTCTTTGGGATGTAGGCTGAGCTCCATTTCAGAGTGTTGACTGATCCTCGGGTAAACCATCTGCAATCTTCCCTGTGCATGGGTGGCTCAGGGCCAGTCTAAAATTCGGGAAGAATCTACACCCAGCATTTGGAGAGCCTGCTCATCAACACAGCCGCCCATAGACACACACCTTTACTATCCAGTGACACGGGCTGTCCAGATGTACTGGTCAGATTTCTGTCACTGGGACAAAGTACGTGACAACTGCAAGCTAACTCGGGAGGTCTGCCTGGCCTGTGGTGTCAGAGCTTTCAGGCCACAGTTGGCGGGTTCCAATGGTGAGGCAGACAGGAAGGGGAAGAGGCAGAGTGGCAGGGAGCGGACAGACTCTGAGGTCACCCCACCATGATCCGCCCAGGCATGCCCAGGGGTGTGTGTAGCCCATCTCCTAGGTGTCTCTTTACGCTGATCAAGTTGACAGTCAAGGGGAACCATCGCACCAGAACTCCTCCCTCTAGATCTTCAGGCCAGGAAGACGATTGCTCTGCTGCTGGTGTTTTCTCTGCCCTCACTCAGGTGAAAAGCTAGAGAGTGTCACCCATCATCAAGAGCTGACTCCCCTCCAGAACCTGCTGGCTTCCACATCTGGGGGTGGTTTGGCGACTTCTGTAGTAATTGTTTACCTCGTTCTCTAACACTGCCTGACGTTAGATGTGGTGTCTCTGGGAGGGCTGGTCCAGGGGAGGCTTCTTTGGCCATCCTGGAAGGGGGCTCCCAGGAACCCTTGCTGGGTTATTATGGTGGGCAGGCCCTAAAGATGTAGGTACCGGGGCTGGGGATTTAGCTCAGTGGCGTAAGTGCCTGCCTTGCAAGCAGGCAGTCGTGAGTTCGATCCCCGGTACCGATAAAAAAGGAAAAAGAAAAAAAAAAAAAAAAAGATATAGGTACCAGGGCCCAAGAAAAGCCTTCCCAGTCCTCTCCAGCCTGGGCCACGCGCGCACACACACATGCACGGACACACAGAATCTGACTTTCCACACCCCCCACCTTCTAACGCAGACCAGTCCTTCGTACTGGCTGAACACACCACAGGTTCCCAATTACTACTGGACAGACAGGTCACCTCTGCATCCCAGGAGCACCAGGTCCATCGCTGACTAGAGGGGAGGCAGGGACGTTCATGCACAGGCAGCTCACCACACTCGCTGTGGCATCAGGAAGGATTCTGAGTCCCACTGCGAGAGTCCACACCCATGCACACACCTCAAGGAGCTTACTCGGCCCTGGATGGCCGGTGTCAGGACCTGGGGACAAGACGACACTGTCCTGTGACGCACACAGAAGGAACAGGAGGAGGGACGGTGCCGAGT